GTATGAAATACAAATTAGTTTATTGTTTCTTTTATATCATTTCAATGAACAAAATTTTCTCTGTCACATTCACTTGCATATTATCGTACAAACAGTTTTTGTTTTATTTATTATACTAATTATTATGACATGCATAATATTTAAATACTCAAACATGCAAATATGTTTCTTTATTGTTCAATTATTAATTAAATATAATTTGAACAATAATTCCGGATTTTTTCCGATTGTTTATCGAAATAATATTTAGTAACAGAAGCAATTTAAACGGCCTTTGAAAAGAAGCGATAAGTTTTAAATTTCAATCTATACGGTATTGAATAATTCTATCCTTTAATTCAATATTGTGTGTTGGAAATTTTTGGTACCTTTCATTTTTGTGATGTCTGTTAATTGTGATAATTACAAGCATATTGGTTGGCTTATTTTTTAACAAAATGAGTGGGAGGATGAAAATTAAAAATTCTCCACTTAAAATCTTAGAAAAATTTCCTTGCGAAATGTTTTCTTGTGCCAGATATTACGGAGAATAATTATATTCACCGTGGATGGTAGCAAAGACTTATCAAAAGTATTTTGCAACCAGGCCTTAAAGTAATTTATAACCAGTCCTTAAAGTTATTTGCTTATGATTTCAAGAAAATTTAGTTGTTATTTATAAAAAGCTGAGAAGTTGCTGACTTCCGTTCTCTCATTATGTTTAGATCCTTAGAATTACCGTTTTCATATTATGTGCTTCAATCTTTTTTTGTTTGCAAAACATTTAATCCATTATAGAGGATTTCATACGGCTGCAACTACTTCCGATTAAGAAGTAGAAACATTTAATATTGTGATGATAGTTGCTGACAGCCATGTAAATCTTAAATTTCAAATGAAGCATTATTTGAACTTTGAAACAGACATATAAACCTTTTAATTCGTAAATTTTATCATACGATAAGGAAAGAGCCTTGATTTGAACTTTTCATGAATCCAGTGAATTAATCATTTTTCTCAGTTCTTTCGTAAATATTTCCCTTTGATGTCTGCCGCACTTCAAATGTAACGTTATGCAGCCGGTTGACTCCAGCACTTAATTGTTTCAATAATTAAAATCATTATTAGATATATATCCGGAAAGTAATATTTCTGTTTATTTTTTGCAAAAGATTTTGATCAATATTTCAAGTTATCTTTTCTAATTCATTCTTACGATATGTTTTTGTTGAATCTCTAACAAACAGTAATAAAATTTACCATTCAAATTTTTCCACATTGATAAAAATTGTTGTAAAAAAAATGATTCATTTCGTTTTATAAATTTCTCAGCGAAAAATTTGTTGAATACTTTTTCTCTTTTTTAGTTTTAGCGTAAGAAAAATTTAATCCTAAAAATTTGATTCAGATTTGATGTGTAAGTTTTGCATAATAAAGGTATGCAAAAGTTTTGATTAGCAACAATGCCAATGATAACGAGTTGTGATAATAAAATAAGTTACCAAGGAGACAAAGAAGTGATTCATTTCGGTGGAATAATTATTTGCCGTAAATGCAAATATGACGAAAAATGATATATCAAAAAATACAATTTTGAACAACTTTTCAAATTATCATCTGACGCACTGATTCTTTGTTACAAAATGATTTATGTCAATAATTCTGAAAGGTTAAAGGTTAAATGCATTATGTCAGTTTTATCATTTTATACCTTGAAAAAAAACGAAGAAATAATAAAATTAAATGAATTAGTTTTCTCAATGTATCAAAATTGAGAAAAATCAAAAATCAGAACATCGAAATGGTATCGTATCTTTCTTACACAATGCAATTGTTCTATTACCAGTCATTTCAATGGTAAACAATTTCCTGTTTTACGTATATTTATGTAAAGAGGAAAAAATTTTCTCGTATGTATTTTGGAATTTATAAAATAACCAGATATAAATTATTTTGTAGGATATCGTAATTCTTACAATTTTGTTGTAATTCAACCCAATGATAAATTTTTATCATTTCAACTATATGTGCTGAATAATCTGATAATCTGATAAGAATTACATTTGAATGGAAATCAAAGTCATGTGATAAAGTTAAATTTATGTGAAATCAATTCAAAATTCGAAATTAAATTTACTTTTTCCTTTGATTTATCACTTACTACTGCAAAGCGAACGAAACGTCAAAATGAGAATTCACAGAAACAATTCTCATTTAATTTCTTACGAAACTTTATTATACAACACACTTAAAATTTTCCCCAATTAAAATTATAAATTTTAAAACTCTCCGAGAATACACTACCTTGTAGAAAATTCAAACTTTTCACTAATGATTAATTGAATTATTCCACATTTTTATTTAATGATAATTAATGCAATTCTGATAGGAAATCTTTTGTATCTTCCAAATTTCTTTCTTCAATATTTGATATAGATGGAAGTATGAGTCATTATTTGGTTCAATTTCAAACTCTCTTAACATATCAAAAACACACATTCGTGAACTTTCAACTTTTTCCCACTTATTACTTCTTCTACTATTGTAAGCGATAATTTGCTTAGAATTATGATATTAAAAATTTTGCATTTTATTCTTCATTGAAAATTCGATGTTAAAAGTTGACAAAACTTTTGAAGAATATTTAACTTAAAATATTGCCGTGGAGAATATATAACATTGTAAACTCATTGTATTCAATGATTAAATATTCATCGGAAAAAATTTTAATCATATTAATTCAAATTGATTGTTATCATTGGTAGTATGATAATTTCCAGTGAAACTACAATAAGTTAAATATTATTCTTCTTTATGAATTTTTATTAATTAAAACAACTGTACACAAATTACAATCCATGAAGGAAAATTAATTAGATAATTGCATAGAATTGTAACATTGCATATTAGCGTTTAATGCTCTTTTATAAAACCTAAGAAAATCTGTTGAAATTAAATCTTTACTTTTTAATAGAAATAATTTTCAAAGGGTAAAGATCATATTTTAGAGGTATGTAAAAAAGAAAAACTTTTGAAGTTGAAACATTTTTTTTAATTTGCAGATAGGAAATGGAACAATTGAATGTATTGATATTCGACTATAAATCATTAATACCTCCCTCCCTCAACAAAGCTAAAATTCTATTACTACTCATTCCGAATAGTTAGGACAATAATGATAGAGACCATCACGGAATTCGTAATCGTTGTCCAGCAACAGGAAAAGGAATGGTATATCCGAAATTCCTATCTTCAAATTATAATAGGCTTTTGACTTTTCGGTGATGGACCTAATTCATTATTAAAGATGTATTTGTAAAGATTCGAATATTACACCATATTCTAATGATTATTTTATCACTTCGTTGATATTTCAGAATGGTTAATCAAATAATTATCACCACGTTATTTATTATTGCAAGCGCCCAATTCATATTGATATTTGGAAAAATGTGCGTAGGAATATTAAGAATTTCTGACGAACTAACATTTTTTAGAGTAATCAGATAGCTATAGCTAATTGCTCCTTTATTAACATTTTATTATCATCAATAACATATTATCATTTGTTTCAACTAAAGCATTATTGCTTCTTTCATTAATAAATTTTTGCAGTTCTTCTACAGAGAAAGGACAACTTGAATTTGCTGTCGAGCTGATAAAAAAATTGGGACAAAACGATAAATCTGCAATTTCGTCGCCTATTTCGATATCGAGCGGAATTTTTATGCTTTATCTCGCAACGGGTAGCCTTACCCAAAAAGAATTACGGAAATTTTTTAAAAAATGTAACTTTAAATTTAAAGAAATACTGAAATCAAGAAGTTTGTTCTACTATTTAGAAAAAATTCAAAATTTCCTTATCCGTGTGCAAACAGTCTTCATATTTTGCTTATCACCAACAATTTTATAGTTGTTGAAAATTCTATAAATGGATAATTTCATAGTTGCTGAAAATTTTACAAATGGATAATTTCATAGTTGCTGAAAATTCTACAAATGGATAATTTCATAGTTGCTGAAAATTTTACAAATGGATACTATGATATTTAATTGATTTTAATTTTTCAGATAGAGTAGACAAAAAAGTTAAACGAAAATTTGATAAATTACTGAAAAATATCGCTGGTAAAGAATATTCGTTGACTATTGCAAATCGTTTATATGTACAAGAGGGATTTTCTATACGATCCACCTTTAATGATACACTGAAATTTTATTTCAACGAAACAGTACATAATTTCGCTTGTGATCAGATAGATCAACTTAATCAGGTATGAATTATGAATAAAGGAAGAAATGAGACGAAGAAGATACGATCAAAAAGGAAGGAAGAGGTAACAATTGTTGTTGTTATTCATGTTGTTGTCTCATACGCTCATTGATTCCGTTTTTTAGGAAATTGGCAATTGGGCTTCAGAAAAAACTAACGGAAGAATAAAAGAATTTGAAGCGAATAATATTGGTTCAAAAAGTGAAATGTTGTTATTCAATACATTTCACTTCAGCGGTGCTTGGAAAAATCAGTTCATTAATTCAGAAACTTCGAACACATTATTCCATCTTTCTGAAGATAAAACGAAAGTGGTAAATATTTTCTTAAATGTTATAAATAGAAATATACGGTTATTCGCATCAAATGAATACATCTGCTGTATCACCTTTATTTATTTTTCAACAGGTACCGATGATGCTCCTAAGGGCAAAACTCCCGTACTACCAAGATTCTTTTGTGCAAATTGTTAAATTGCCTTATGTTGGTGATGAGGTAGAGATGATAATCATACTGCCACAAATTCGCTTTGATTTATCTAACATTCGAAAGAAGATGACAGGAAAAGATTTAATCAAATACATTAATTGGACTAACTCAACTAATGTTGAGGTAAGTTATGATATTTCCTTTTTTAAAAAAGCTGAAGATCGTCACATCGATCTAATCGATTAATCGGTTAGATCAATGTGACGATCTTATCTAATCGATTATCTATCTAATATCGATTAATTCTTGTAAATGATTCTTGTACCTTATCTTGTATTCTTGTACCTTATAATTCTTGTACCTTATCTAATCGATTAATTCTCGTAAATGTGTAGCATTGTTTTATCTCAATTTCTGAAAGAGAATTTTTAAAAGACCTTAATTTTTATTTTTGTTAGGATAATTAATTAGAATAAATAATTAAAGTAGAAAATTGATTGATCATTTTAAAAAGCAGATATTGTAATTAATTTCTTTTAATTTTAGTTAACATTACCGAGGTATCGAATGGAAAATGAATGGAATTTGAGACGTACTCTGATAAAATTTGGTATCACACGTATTTTCAGCAATTATGCTAACTTCGAGGAACTTAGTAATTATCCAATTTCCTTAAGAAATTTTATGCATAGATGTACATTTAAGGTTTGTATATAATATCACATTTTCTATTTAAATATATAATATCATATTTTCGTATATACGATATATATATAATATATTATATCACATATTTTGGTTTGTATATAAAATATCACATTTTCTATTGCAATTTTAAAAATTAAAAATATAGCATTTTTGCTATTTTGTTCATAGTCAAATTTTTTGCAGGCAAAAGAAGGCGGAACAGATGTTGCAATTAGCACTGAACATAATCTATCTGACAACCAGAACTTTAGCAAATCTGTAACATTCAAAACCGATCAACCATTCCTGTATTTTGTTGTTAAGGATTCAAAAACTGTCCTGTATGCAGGTCAATATGGCTGGGATCATCATCTTTAAAATATTAAATATGGCTTTTGCTGGCAACTTGACTTAAATGTTCGGCAAATAACTTTTGATATTATGGAGACCCACTTTCCGCGGCCTATTAAACTACGCAAAATGTGATAGTTATGATGTTTTTTTAAATCTATTCATAAGTTAATGATGACAAAATGTGTTACAGTAATGTAAATATACAGTAAGAAATTTTATACAGTAATATGAATAATACGGTAAGGGATTTTATAAAAATTAATGCACTAAAAAAGTTTTACATTGTCAAATTAATCATCATTTGGAATTTCTTAACTATAAGTTGGATACAATATACCATATGCTAAATCTAATGAAGTGATGATTGATTGTATTATTAGTAATTATTAATATTTCATTTCCATTACTATCTATGCAAAAATTGATTTCAATTTGTGATATATACGAGAGTTTTAAATGTTGATTTAATATTATTCTTTATTAATCTTATTGATTCATCATTATTTACAATTGTTTTTTAGTATTTTTTTGTTCCATCAAAATTATTTTATTCTGTTTAATTACATTCCAATGTTTTTTGAATATTACCGTAATCATTTTAGATACTTAATTAAGTATTCCATAATTTATACCAATAAAAATTTAGGCAAATCATTTTTCTTTGTTAGAAAAAATTCATTCCCTTGCACATTGTTTTTATTATTACCTATTTACTTCATAACTTAATTAGTAATATATTCGAATTAAAATAAAAAGATTTGTCTTTCAAATAAACATTTGATAAATTTCAATTCTGTGACATCATTTATCTATTTGTTCTTTTGTTCTTTTTTCCTGATTTCAAATTGTTTTGTTTTTGTTTTAATTAAACGAGGAAATTTGACAGAAAAATAAACAACTATCTGAACAAACAAATATGAAGAAAATGAGAAAGCACTAGTAGTATTTCCGGCAAATTAATGGCAACAATGTAAATATCAAAAATTTGTGATATCAAAAATTTGTTTGCATAATTAATGAGATGGGCCGGAAATACCTATTTACTTAAAATATAATTAAAACAGCAAGAGTTGTTGAAATCGTTTATCAGGTAGCTTCGGAAACTTGCCATCAGTTGGGCTATATAAACATCGATTAGCAATAGAAGAACTAAGAACATTTTTAATTATAAACTTTGTTATAGGAAATCTTTATTAATGGTAGTAGTTAATTTCGATAAAGCAATTCAAGCCATCATGTTTGTTCATTACGAGTTTTTCCGGTAGTCCTGTAACCTTTACTTTGCATGTCAAATAATTAATTTTTTAATTAATTATATTATACCTGAGTCAAGTAATATATAAACATAATGCAGTTAACTTTTAACCTTTCAGAATTGTTCGCATAATCAGTTTGTAGTAAGAGATTAATGCATAAAAGATGGTAATTTAAAAAGTTGTGCAAAATTACATTTTTTTGATATCATATCTCATTTATTATATTCGAGTAAAATAATAGATAAACATAATTTACGGCAAATAATTATTCTATCGAAATGAATCACTACTTTGTCTCCTTGGTAACTTATTTCATTATCACAACTCGTTATCATTGGCATTGTTGTTAATCAAAGCTTTTGCATACCTTTATTATGCAAAACTTACACATCAAATCTGAATCAAATTTTTAGGATTAAATTTTTCTTACGCTAAAACTAAAAAAGAGAAAAAGTACTCAACAAATTTTTCGCTGAGAAATTTATAAAACGAAATGAATCATTTTTTTTACAACAATTTTTATCAATGTGGAAAAATTTGAATGGTAAATTTTATTACTGTTTGTTAGAGATTCAACAAAAACATCGTTAAAGAAGATAACTTGACATATGATCAAATTCTAATAAACAGAAATATTACTTTCCGGATATATATCTAATAATGAATTTAATTACGGGAACAATTAAATACTCAGCTCAACCGGTTGCATAATGTTTAGAAATACATTTGAAGTGAGGCAGAGATTAAAGGGAAATATTTACGCAAGAATTGAGAAGAATGAAAAATTCATACAAAATGTTTAATTGTTTATTTAAATATTTTAATTGAACGAATATCACAAATTTTGTGCAAGCGAATTAAAATCATAAATTATTGGAGATGATTATTTGGATTTTTTCATGGATGAGAGATCGGAAATGATAATTAATTAGCATAACACATTTACATAATGGAAGATATTATGAAAAGTGCTTTCAGAGAGATGAACTTGAGGAAATTTGATGTTTGCAATCAATCAATTTTAATCCAAACAAAAGCAAATAAGTTGAAAAGGGCGAAAAAAACGTTTGAAGCTAAGTAAACCTTCAAGTGAACTTTTTTATGACCTCATTACGGTAGAACACAGTAATGGATTACTTTCAGATTCCATTTCGATAATTATTCAATACATTATCTTCTTCAAGTAAAATGGGAAATTTATCAAACATAAAAAAATGTATTTTGATTTCCTCAGTAATTAACGGTTTCTTTTTTTGATTTCAAAAATTACACAATGAAATAAATGTTCCCATTTTTTTTTAAATCTTAAACTAAAACAATGAATTGTCTCATATGTTTAAATACTAATTTATGATCGCATATGCGAAAAATAAATAAATCCTAAATCAAAATGCCGTAAATTGGCAATGGAAAGAACTAAATCAAAAATGAAGGAATTGATTTGAAGTTAAAAATGAATGAATTGATTTGAAGTTTGTTCAGTTAATCCGTAAAATAAAAAATTAAGTCTTTTATTAAAGCTATGAAATAAGCATTTCAAGCAATGAACAGAAAACGAAATAAGAAAAGAATTTCCTTCCGGAAAATGTATATATCAAGCCTGATATATTATTTCGAATAGCAACGACAAAATCTAAAAAAGTATTAATCGATTGGTTAAATCGAAAATATAAAGAATTATTTTCTAATAGAAAAAGCATAAAATGATAAATGTTAATATGAAAAAAATTAATATTTCAAATTGTATGAAATAGACTTTTTAAAATACGAATTAATCAAAACAGTAAAATTGAACTTCAAAAATAATTGAATTTTTGAATTGAACTTGAATTGAACTGAACTGAACTGAAGTTGAATTGAATAATTGAACTTTAAAAAAGAAATGCTTCCGACAAAATGATTCAATTAGAAGAATAAATTCAATTATTCAATTTCGAATAACAACGACAAAATCAAACAAAGTATTAATCGATCGATTAAATCGAAAATATACAGAATTATATGTAAAGAATTATAATAGAAGAATTGAGCGATAAAGAAGAAATTTCAAAGATTGATAAAAGAAATACAATGAAATTTTAAAAGACTTAAATTTTAAACTTTTTAAAAAGTTAAAGAAACAAAAATATTTATTAATAAAAGTTTATTGAAACATATAAGTTAAAAAATAATTAATATAAATATATATCTATTATTGCTTAAATATATATTAAAATATCATACATACCTTTGTTAATATCGATTAGAATAAATAAATATATCAGGTAAATATTTTAACCCTTAGATATATATTTTTTGAAATATATGTAAACATATGTTAGAAAATCATAATATATCTTTGTTAATTAAAAAGAAGTTAATATTTATGAAATATATGATATAGACAATATGATATTTGATCAAACATTTTCATCATATTCCCACAGAAATGCACCTTCCTCTAAATTATTGACACATTTCTTTGCATGTCTTGTTATCTTATTATTGTTATATTTTTGCATAATTAAAGGTAACTTCATTAGCACCTGCGTATTGCTAATAATAGTAACAAATATTTTACCACCATCAATCTAACGAATAATGACTAACAGATTATTGCAATATGTTACTAAGGCATATTTCAATTCATTTCATAATTCAATGCTTCCTTTTTATACCTTTTATCAAATAACATTTTTCTATTTCTTAGTTATAATAAATTAGAAATTTCGTTAGCTTCTTTTTTTTATCTTTTACTAATTAATCATTTTTTTTGTTGTTAATAATAAAATGAATTAATTGGATAATTAATTAATACAAAACATACTAATCTTTTAATATGCCGCTAATTTGAAGTATAAAGTGTAGTAATATTACTGCAATATATAATGTTTGTTACTAATAGTTGTTAGAATAAGCAAAACTATAAAAATTGTACTCAACATGGAATTTATATTATTTGTAGTATTTAAGCAAATATGTATGTAAATAAAAATAAACAAATAAACAAATAAATAAATGATGACAAGTAAAGAATTATTTATCTTTCTAATCTATCCTAATCCGTCTATCCTAATTTGTCTATCTAATCTATCTACTTTAATTTATCTATTCTAATTTAACTATCTATTCCAACCGTCTATTTATCCTAATCTATCTATCTATCTGTTTTAATCTATCTACCCATTCTGATCTATCTATTGATCTATTCGAATCTATTCTAATCTATCGATCCTAATTTATCGATCTATTCTAACCTATTTATCTATCAAATCCGTCCAACCTGAATATATATTTATATTATAAAGTGGATGAATTTAAGTTGTAAAATATTACGACGAATTTCCAAGAAAATAAATTCTTATTAATATTTAAAATAAACAATCACTATATTAATTCTTCAAAAAGAAAAAATAAATAAATAAACAGTATGAAATTGTTCATGATAATGTGAGTGAATAATTTTAAATTTTCAACAGAATTATTTTTATTTGCTACCGCAGATTCTTCCATAAAATTTAGGAGAGAATGATAAAGATAAAAAGAAAAGGGAAAAATTTAAAGTTGGAGAAAAAGAATTAAAACTTTTAACTCTACACTCCTTTGTTTCTTTAAATTTTAAATTTAAAAATATATTACTATTATTTATTCCGGTTTTACGTGACCCGATACGCGATGCTATCACATCAACTTTTTACATTAATATATTTAAGTGCATTCTAGTGGAATAATCAGAATTAATAAAAATATATGAAATACAAAAATATATGCTTTTGATGATATATTTCTAATTAAGTAAATTAATATGAAATTTTCAGATTCAGAAAATTCCGAAATTTTTACAACATCAAAAAAATAGGAAAGAAATGGATAATAGGAATTGCGGAAATGTTTGGCAACGTGGCTTCGCTTTATCTCAAGCTGATGAATATCATCATCATGTTGAAAGTGCATCGATTCCGGTTTTACGTGATCCGATACGCGATGCTACCACATCATCGTTCTTATTTTGGGATTATGATCCAACATTTCGCACCAATATTGGACAAACTGTTAATAGTAATTTCGGCGAACCACATTGCATTGTACCATTAGCACAAATTCCGGTACTCAATTTAGTACGGTATTTTAATTAATCTAAATTATCGTCAATTTCAACATGAAAGGCTGGTATTTAGAGGCCCATTTGACTGTAACGGCACATATGTTGGTTTTATCTTTAATAACAAACATTTTTAACTGAACTTATTAGATTTCCGTTTGAGCTACCATTAAAATGGTTTATGATGATAACCGGCTAGGTTACATATGCTACAAGAATGTTGATAAGGATCAGTTTCATGCCAAAAAATTGGTACGAACTGTCATCATGAAGTTAATTCCATCTTCGAAATTACCAGTATTATGTTTATTCATTTCTAAATGTATCGTTCTTTTATATTGCATTTCTTCTTTTAAATAAACTTGTGAAATAAACTTTTAAATAAACTTTATGTTCTTCAGAACAATTATTTTATTTGATTTTCTAATTTAATTTTTCTAAAACTTACTTGCACAGAAATCGCAATATGCAAATTTCAGGATTATAGCGGTAGTTTTACCAGTTTACCTGTTCGACAAATAATAACAACACCTGCACCAATTTATTCAAGCTCGCATCCATGTGCTGTTAAAGATTTTACAGTACCATTATCAGCAAGGTTTTCATCCGAACAAAGGTATATTAAAAAATATTAAGTATAATCAAAGTTTTAGTAATCATAAATGTAACTTTGACATTATATTTCTACAACCTGGAAACTTTTTTTTAACTTACGAATTTCAATTTATAAAATAGAAAGAAATACAAAGTAGTAAGTTGATGATTTAATTATTTAGTAAAATTCGCGTATCACAACGAATCAGATTATATCGCATAGTAAATTCGTTGGGTAAAAGAGCAATTGTCCTTGCAAAGACAAAGGGCAAAGGGCAAATATCCATTGGTATAAGCTATAAATAATTATTTTCTTTGCTTTTTTAGTATATTAATAGTTTAAAAAAAGGAAAACAGCAATAAATTAAAATTTGAAAGGAAAAAATAGTAACCATAAAATTGACTTTATTTATTTCCCAACAAGATTAATTGTCCTTGCAAAGACAAAGGACAAAGGTCAAATATCCATTGAAATAAGTTATTAATTTTTATTTCCTCAAAACTTCTGTCTTTCAGTTAAATGTCACGAGAAGTTTCTTATGAATTGAATTTGTCACATCTCCTTTAGCGATTACCCGATCTACAGTATATCCATTAGCCATCTTTCAACTACAGTATTCCCGTAACATTTGCAATTCAAATAGGCAGAAATTCCGATCATAAATTTGCTTTAATTAATTCAAAAATTAAATTGATAAAAATTAATCTTTTCGTTCACAATGCAAACATTAGAAATCGTAAATGAATACCTGTAATCCGTAAATATTTTTTATCTATTACTTTAGATTAATCGAAAACTCTCCAACCTTTTCAAGTTTTTGTTTTAATTTAATTTTTAAAAATTCCAACTTTATTTTAAATTGAACTCGCAATTCTTTTGTTTTATCTTAACTACCATTTTTTCCATTAACACTTGAGAAATTATCTTATCACTTTAATTGATTTCATAGCAAATTTTTTTTCAGTGATAACAAGACAAAGTATTAAAAAAGAATATTAAATTAACTTAAGATAATGAATGATAACACTTTATTGTACATTGATAAAGAAATCATTTGAATTTCGAATGCTTAAAATTTTTAGCTATTCGTTATTATCATTTGATACAACTAATGCATTACCAACTTCTTCAATATCACAACAATCTGCACCACAAGCAATACCTTCGGTAACAGTACGGAAAACATCCATCGAACAACTCTGTCAGGTTTGCCTTGCTGCCTCTTCCAACGGATTGCATTTTGGAGCCAAAACATGTGCCGCTTGTGCTGCGTTTTTCCGGTTAATTTATTTTCTTTAATTAATATAAAAATTTTCTTTAAATAATGTTTTTATTTTATCAAATATGAAATATTTTAATATGGTATACATCAAACTTGATATATTATAAAGATAGTAAATAATTTATTTTCTATTTACCGGAATAATAAAAATTTTTTTAATTTACCGGAATAATTTATGAAAATAAAACTTTTCCATATTTTAGCTTACCGGAATAATAAATTTTAGTAAATTTAACATTTCAAATTTAACAAGCTTAATATTTTCCAACTTCATATATATGAATTCCATTACTTTTACAAAGTCCTAAATATTTCAAATTTTAGAATTCTTAAATTCTCGTAATGTATCATTTTTCAATTTCCTATTTATCTAATTTCCCTTTTTACCCAAAATATTAGTTCTATCAATTTTATATTTTAACAATAATCTTTAAATTTAAGGCCTAACTTTTTTTCCTGATACATTATCGTACTACATCAGATTTTATTTTTAAACTGATATTACATACAGTAAGCATAGAAGTAATTGCAATTATCATTATCTCGTATTACTTAAATTTCAATGACAAATACTGCCGAGTTTTAAATTATCATCTAATTTTATAATAACAATCATTTCAGACGAACAGTTAGCGATGAAAAGAGTTACACTTGCAAACGATCACAACGTTGTGATGTTAAATTAAATTATGGTATGTATATAATAGTAATGGTAATTGATTATTTTGATAAATTTTTAAAAATGATATCATTAGGAAAATATTTTTTTTCTCCTAATAAAATTTTTGTTTTTATTTTAAAATAATTTTCGCAATTAATTCTTGAAAATAATTCAAAAGAAACGACATTTTGACTATATATATATATAGTTATTTATATATATATATACAGTCATATATATATAGTCATATATATATATACAGTCATATATATATATAGTCATATATATATATCAGTTATCAGTTATATATATTTAATCTTCAGATCTCACAAACATCTATCTGATTGCTAATCATTTTCAGCTACCGGTTATCGTAAAATATGTCGCAGTTGTCGTATGAAACGATGTCTTCACATTGGTATGCTACCAGAAAGTAAGCAATTTTACTACAAATTTTTTTTACGCCTTTTCTTTTTTATCTTTCGAATTTATAAATAATCAAGAAAATTATGTTATAATTATTATTATATTATTTTACTATTATTTATTTTACTATTTTACGAAAGTTATTAAATTTGAGTTATTAAAATTTGATTAATTTAAGTTATTAAAAATGAATTAAAACAATTATTTCATTTTTTACCTTTCTCCCTCTCTCTCTTTCCTCTCTCTTATACTGTATACATTTTTAAACCGAATGCTTCAATTTAAAGTCAGTTTTAATTGTAATTATCAAGTACTCTTTTTGTTTCAGATGTACAGAATAAAAGGCAAAGGAAGGAATACAGGGAAAATTACAGCTGTCAAAATGATAGTAATAATGATAATCAAATTTCTAAATGATATTCAAATTTCTATTATCGATAATAAAGAATGTAACCATTGCTGATACCAACATAAACGATGTTACACAGCAAGCATATCCATCGATCGAATCCCATCGATCATAATTTCGATCATAAATTGTTAAAAGGTTAAGGAAATGATAAAATAAAAAAAAAGGTTAAGGAAGAGGTCAAACATATGAAAAGTAAAAAAAGAAACGAAAATATTATATATGTAACTATTTTATGCAAATTGAAAAATGACAGAAATGGTAAAACGAAGCATTTCAATTTTCCCTAATGAAAAAATTATTTCAAATTTATTTTTAAATTTTAGAATAATTTTTGCAACATTAGTAAATGTTGACAGTTTCATGTTTCTAAAACAAAAAGGAAGAAATTAAAAACTGATAATTTAACTTTCTTTCTTTTCTTTTTCTCTGAGAATTATTTTTTCAACAGTAATTAATAATTAATGAATAATTGTTTCAAAAAATGTATGAACTAACACAAAATGCATCTAACATAATGCGTAAGCATGTTTAATAAAAATTTTATTCCAAGAAGTTTGAATAAAAATTCGATTAATTAATATCAATTCGTTAATTAGTTGTTGTTGATGGTTGATACCAAAATACTTTATAAATGTTTGTTGTTGATGATTGGTACCAATACTTTATGTTTGTTATTGATGATTTGCTACCGATACTTTATAAATGTTTGTTGTTATTGTTTAGTACCAATAAATGGTATGGTACCAAAATGGATAAATATAAAATTGCTGGAAATATTTTGAATTTGCATAAATTAGAATAACATAATTTATTGTAAGTAATAATATTCAATACTTATTTTAGATAGAAAAAAGGAAAAAAAACGATATTAATTAATTAGTAGAAATAAATAATTTATATATTTCATGCAATTTTATTGCAAATAAATAATACATGACTAAAATAGTAAGAGCTAAATGAGCCTATGAAAAAGTTGATGCCCCAATAATCAATCAACTTCTTGGCTATATGAAACTAACATAATGAAGCCAAAATACTATCATTAATAGTTACATGCATTATAATTAGTATAATGCATCATAAGCTATAGTAATATATGAAAAGCTGGCAAATTGTAAGTAAATGAAGGAAAGATACAATAAATCAGATAATGAAATAATCTGAATAAAAACAGCTGAAGAAATTTAATTTGAATATCTTTTAAATAATTTACTATTCGGAAGTAATTTCCTTTTGCTATTTCAACTATAATATTAAATTTTAAAACAATAAATTATAACTGATAATTTCAATTGAAAAAGAGAAATTGCATTTTATTAATAATTTAAATATTTCGCTTTTTTTCTATTAAAAGAATTATTTCATTTAATTTATCAAATACTATTGAAAAAAATATTTAATAAAAATATATTCACGAAAATTCCTTCTTCTTTTATGGAATAAGAAAAAAAGATACGGTAATTAAATTAGGTAATGGAATTCATAGATTAGTATAATTGATTGCTAAATTAAATAAATGAATTCATATGTTAGTATCACTAATATAATTAGCTACTAAAGTAATGGAATTCATATATTATCATTAATATAATTGGCTACTAAAGTAATGGAATTCATATATTAATATCATTAATATAATTGAATACCAAATCAATTGATGGAGTTCACATATTAATATCATTAATACAATTGAATACCAAACAAGTAATGGATATCATTAATATAATCGGCTACTATCACTAATACTATTGGTATTACTAATATTATTGATTTCATTATACATAATGTTTATATTGCAGTCCAAGGCAAAAGTATAATGTTTCAATGATAAATGGTAGTTGTGGCCATCGGTGAGGATAGTTGAGACAATGCCTTGTAACAATGATTCCGATAAATCTTAATTTTATAGCTGATGGATAGGTAAAAACCGATCCTATCAGTAATTAAGCATCTATACATTTCTTTTGAATTGAGCATTGCTTAGAGAGGAATACTATTCATAGTAAATAGACAAAATCATCACGTAGGCGGTAAAAGTGATGTTGATTTAAAGATCATCTGATTGAAAAGACCGATAGCAAAGAAAAGGTCGTTTCAACATATATCCACAAGACGATGTAAAGATAAGACGATGGTAACGATGGATGGCAATGCTCTTACATGCAATCATCCCAAAGCAACAAGAATAATGGATACAAAGAGCGCCCTATGATCAAATGGATCAAAAGAATGCTTTATGATCTAATGGTATTTAACATTTGCAAATACTGGCGAACAAAGTACCTTATTATATCCTTTAGCAAACAATGAAAATGAACAAAGGATTAGCTTAATCATACAATCGTACCAATTTCATGTATTTACGAGAAATCTTTATGGCACGAATTGGTTCTACTAAAACGATAAATTTGGAACAATTTTCCAGGATGCATATATTTCGATTATTTAATTACCACTATTGTTTTATATGATTATGTCGGATTTTCGACATGAACTTTTGTGGAATTATTTTTGAGGGATAGCTTTGTGTGGCACAGTTGAAGTATAATGAAGATTTAATAATCGATTACGAGTTTTATCCTTCTTAATTATTAGAACACAATTATTAGGCTTCATCGCTCTTCCTCATTGTTAATATGGGAGTATAGAAGCGCTCTGTTTCAGATAGTAAAGCAAAGTGCTTTGTTTCAGAGCAGTAAATTACAATAGCACACACTCTCTTCCAGTTGGATGATGTTCGCCGAGTACTGTTTCTAGCAAATGAGACAATTGGTGTTTTTGTCCATGAAATTGATGATGAACAAAGAATCGCCTAGTCATTTGAAAGATGAAATTAATGGTAAACAAGGAGGTCATCGGATATATAAATCATTCGCGGTATTCTCTAGAATCATACATCAAAAAAAATACACAAAGCATATCCTATCATTCGATGAGAAATATTTGTAATATAGACAAGAGTATAAAGATATATTGATCATATAAAGATATATGATTTTTATATTATAAGGTTATTTCGAGTTTCTGACAACAATTACCATCAGTTATTAATTATGTGTTAATAAAATGGATATATGCTTGGAATAGTGATTATGAACGAATAATGCTTATAATTTAATTTAGAAAGAAATTGATAATGATAATGATTTCATTAATAAGAATTTTCGTTCCTATTGGGATAAATTCAATACATTAATTTTGAATTAAACATTAGCCCTACTAATTAAATAATTTGAAATCTAATTAGATCGCATAGATTCACTTCTATTTAATGTTACTTAAAGATTAAAAGAAAACTTTCATCAAATCTTCTCTAAATTTTCTTTAATAAATCGATTTACTATAAATAGAGAAAGTAAATAAAATTCGACACGAAACAACAAGTCGTTTAATTATCTCTACATAGGAGATAATTAAACAGGTAAATGATTATCAGGAGAAAAGATTGTTCAAATACTGAATGAAATTTCAAAAATGACACTTCTATTCCATGACGTAAAAAGATGAAAAACCACGTTTTAAAAAGTAACAAGTAAAATGAAACATTAGTTTCACAAAAAATCTACAAAGAAAAAACTTTTACCTGAAGCATATGAAAATAGGTGGTAGAAATTAATTAGTATAAAAATTAATTAGTAGTTGTTGCTATGTCACCGTTGGAGAATCACTCAATTTCTTACTTTCACTCTACAATAAGAGGTGTGAAAATTAAATGAATTGAAATGAAATGGAGTAATTGTAAAATAGTGTAGAAGATTATTTCACTAGAAATTACTGATTGAATTTTGTTAGATTTAATGAAAATGAAGCGGTATTAATTTGATAATAATATTATTGATTAGTATAACTTCTAACTTAGATTGGATCAATTAGACGAATTATTCTTGGATTGGACTACTGGACTACTATAAAAAAAATTGAAGAAAGAATTTTAAGATAAAAAGTTTCGAAAAAATTTGTATAAAAATAGCTGGCATTTCTTGGTTAGTTGACTGCTTGATTTGATTGATATTTGCTATTTTATTAGTTAATATTATTTGGTTGATCATTAATTAGCATTAATTGACTAATATTGATTGATCCCTTGATATCCACTGGTTAAGTGAAATTTCCTTAACTAGCTGATAGTAATTGTATCAGTTGACATTTACTATTTATTTGGAAATTGTCTACCATTTGCAAATTATTTACGTCTACTAATTAAATGATACTGGCTGATCAATTGATTGAATTGAAAAATAATCATTTCATATTGTGTAACTATTTCATATGTTTATAAACGATTGTAACTTTATTTGATGATTCATGTAATTCTTGTATAATAATTACTTAAAATGTGCATGAACTTTTTTTTGAAATTTAGTTTGAGCAATGATTGTTTATTTTACATTCTTTTTGTAATGTATTATTATTCATCCCTTGCAGCTTATTTTTTAAATCTCTTTATACTGTCTAGCTAAACATTCCGTGTTTTGCTTGGTTCGTTTGACGAAAATGGCATTTGGACCGGTTTCAATTTCATAATTTGTGCCGGCTTCGACTCCAACGGCGCAATTAACTGCAATTATAAATTGACGCTAAGAATATGGGATTAATTTTAATGATAAATTTATTTCCAATTGCTGATATGATAAATTCATTGCCAATTGCTGACATTATTATTATTCGTACACACATTATTACGATTCGTGATTAAATTAATGACTAGTAACAAATATGACTATGTTATTAATGGAACCCACCTGCTCGGTTTTTGGTGTGCTTTTCTGCAATTGTTGAATTGAAACAGTGGAAGCTACTGCTTTCTGGATCGGAACATGAGAAGCCGCTGTTTCCGGTTGGAATTGTTTCTGCGGTTGCTGAACCGTAGCAATGGAAGGTGGTGGTAGTGGTTGGATTTGTTTATATGGTTCCTGAATCATTGTAACAAGGGGTGATGATTGTGGTTGGAATTGTTTCTGCGGTTGCTGAACCGTAGTAATGGAGGGTGGTGGTAGTGGTTGGATTTGTTTATATGGTTCCTGAATCATAGTAACAAGAGGTGATGATTGTGGTTGGAATTGTTTCGGCGGTTGTTGAACCGGCGCATCTAAAGGTGATGATTGTGGTTGAAATTGTTTCGGCGGTTGCTGAACCGGCGCATCAAAAGGTGATGATTGTGGTTGGAATTGTTTCGGCGGTTGTTGAACGGGCGCAACAAAAGGTGATAATTGTGGTTGGAATTGTTTCGGCGGTTGTTGAACCGGCGCAATAAAAGGTGATACTGGTTGGGCTAGTTTCTCAAACTGCTTAGGCGGAGCAGGAAAAGATGATAGTACCGTTTGAGTTGGTAACTCTAGCTGCGGAACCGGAATAGGGGAAGGTAATAGCGGTTGTCCTACTTTCTGTACTTGCTTCTCTTTCTCAGACATTTGTATCGGTTGTGGCTTCATTTGTTCTAGCATTGCTGTTTCCGGTTTATTGATTGGTGTGACATATTTTAAGGCTTCCTTTATTGATTGTTGTGGTGATTCTTTTTTCCCTTCAGCTTCCGACGGTGTTACAACCTTACGCTCCTTTGCAGCTTTTTTCGCTGCTAACATAGCAATATAGTCATCGGAGAATTTGTCAGCTTTCTAGACGAAAAAGCGAAGAATCAAATTTATTGAATAAATCCAATTTATCTTTATATACCATTTCATATTACAATGATTTTAAATCATATTTTATTTATAAATAAAATTTGTTCACGTCAATTATATAATATAAAATATCCGGAAGAAGATAATATTATTTTGTTTAACTTTCTTTTTGTATCACTATTATGTAAGATATTGAAATGTAAAAATAGGATGGATACCTCTTGCAATTCAGGTTTTGAATTGAATAATCCACAAGCTTCCGCATATGCAATCAAACATCGTACCACATATACAAGCTGTTCATCAGTTTGAACGGCACTCATGCGCATTGCTTAAAATTACATAAGCAAATATTTACTTTAGTTTGAAAATTTACAATAATCGTATTTGATTAATTGTGCTATTCTTTTTCATAAATCAATTTTCAAATTAATTTTACATTTAAAAAAACAAAGGAAAAAGATTGAAGTGATTGGAGGAAATTTGTATACAAATTTTGTATGTGAATGTTACGAAAAATAAATTCTTTCTTTCATCATATAATTTATCAAATATAATTTAAAATAAATTCTTATATAATAATTAATTCTTCATTTAATTATTAATTGAAGAAAGTTGCCACTTTGATATTTTACTTTTCCTTTTTTAAATTTTATATTTGCTTTATTTTAAATTCTTTAATTATTTGAAAAATTTTTTTCTTAACTTTTTATTACTGTTTAAAATTAAGTATGACAAAGTTTGTTTAGTGTTGTTGACCGTAATTAATACTATTAAGATATTTAATTGCAATATTGATTATTAGCTACTATTACTGTACTGTATTAAGTGCACTTATTTCATTTCTTATAAGTATTTCTGAAATTATTGATGAATTTATAAAATTTTAAATTCGAGAAATAAAAGGAAATCATACATCTTAATCTTTTAACTATATCGACAAGAATTAACGGTTTTTTGGATAGAATTTGTTGTAGGGCCATTTCAATAGCAACAATGCAACCGGTACGACCGATACCTGCTGAACAATGAACAACTGTAGCACGATGCAATGATTGTCGTACAATTTTCAATATCCGAAATGGAGCTAATGTACTTGATGGTACACCTTTATCAGGCCTTTAATAAATTATAAAATTAAAAAAAAGAAAATAATTACTATCAAATTACAGGTTGGAACATTAGAAAGCATCAAATGATATAAGATTTAATACTTCTCTTCCTCTTTTTTTTAAAAAAGAAAATTAAATACCAATCTTTCCACCGTATATGCTTGATAATTAAACGAGTATCTGTATTTTCAACTTGTAATATTGATAATATAAATGTTGTATCTTTGTTATCATCAACTTCAGCACATGTCACTTGTACATCTATAATACAATATTATATAGATGATTCATATATACGACAGTTGTTGGAATGCAATCAATATATATTTTAAAATAGCTCATTTATCTTTTAATTATTCATATCCTATTCCTAATATATGTGACATTAAAAAAAAAGTATTTATATAAAACTTATGGGTAAATATAAAAATAATTTACTAAAAATACGAATACATATATTACGAATACATGTATCTCAATATGATTTAACATACAAATAATATGTCAATTAAAATTGAACATATATGGCAATATTTGAATTCAAATACTCTCTGTAAGACAATATTTGAATTCAAATACTCTATAAGACAATATTTGAATTCAAATACTCTGTAAGGCAATATTTGTATTCAAATACTCTATGAATTGCATGAATGATTTGATCATATATAATTGATCAATTAGATTGCTAAGGATATTGCACCGTAACAGTATAATCATTATAACAAATTGCAGTAAACCCTAATTGTTACAAATTGCTAAAATATGAAGTAACTTTTGTTCCCAATAATTTATCAGTTATCAGTTACTTATATCAATAATATATGTGATGTTAAACAATTGATCAATTAAATTAGATAAAATGTGATATTAAAAGCAACGCAAAATAATCGCAACAACAAATATCTATTATTTTATTCAAAATATTTCATTCAAATATTTCATCTTTTATCATTCAAAATGATATGTGATAAAATATAAAATAGTAAAAATTCTTTTATCAAAAAAAATCATTTATATTTTTGCTGTTATAGTTTAAATACAATTATTCAAATTAAAATATTTTAGAATAAATTAATTAAACTATATGATATTAATTGATAATAAAATTAATGATATTAATTAACAACCTCCAAATGTAAGCGATGTGCCAGCATCTTGTGGCCAATATTGGAAACATTTATTTTTCCCTTCTTCAATAATATTACATAGCATAATAATATTACTTACTTTTTCTTGCAATATCATAATCCAAAAATCATTTACTGTTATTTGCAATGGTGCCTGTCAGTAATTAATTCATTTTTAATTAATTGCTTGTTTATATTTTAATAATAGATTTTCTTTATAATTATATTAATTTTTTATGAATATTTTCGAAAGAAAAGTTCCATTAATATAACAAAAATTATTTTAAAAATTTAAACAAAATTAAAAACAAAAATATTTTTTAAATTTCAAATTATTAATTATTAAGTACTAAAGAAATATTTAATGATAAATTATTTGAGGCTTTTTCAAATCAAAGAAAATAATTTATATATATATGAGTTTTTTCATGTGTTGGAAAATTAATTAATTATCTTTAAAAAATTTATTAAAAAGTAAATCGAAACAGTTATATGCTTTACCTGAGTGCATGATAAAATAGTTGAGGAATGAAATAATTACTTTGCTTTTACCTGAGTGCAAATAAAAGAATTGAGGAATGGATCGCCTCTAACATAATTTGCATGAATGTAGTCAGCTTCTCTCACTTGCAATACAACGCGTGTCTCATCAATGCATAAAACATCTGCAAACATATCATTTTCGTTAATAAACGATAATTTTTATTGAAACAATAAAAATTAGCATATTTTATTTATAATTAGAATATATGCAAATAATATGATATTATCATTAGTGATATGATTAATTATTTTGGGAACTTTTGAAATACATTTATCATCAATTATTGAAAATCAATTGATCGCTATCATTTTCAGTTGTAAATGCAAGGATCAAATTATTTACTGTTTAATGATTATTTTATTGTTTCATTCTTTTATTGCATAATTTAATTTTCGACTATTAATTGTTTTAATTTAGCATTTTTCAATCCAATATATGCATTAATTATAAAGTTAATGAAAAAATTTTATTTTAGTTAAAGCTAGAAAATGTAATAATTAAGAAATTAAAATTAGAGGCAAAATTTTATTTTGAAATTTTGTTTAAAATTTTGTTTAAATTTAATCAATAGCAAAAAACCTTTGTAACGATTTTTGTTCATATTTTTATCGAATGCTATATGTGATATATTTGGTGGAATATAAGTTTTTAGATCAGTTTGAAATTGTTTTAAGATTCCATCAACACCAATACCAAATATTTCCTAAAAGTAAAATTAATAAAATTAAATTAATTTATGCAAATTTTATACAACAAAATTTTCGATCACAAAAATAAATTAACTGCAAATTTATCATTCATTATTTATTATTAATCTATAAATTATATAATTTACATAAATATTTCTCGCAGATACGATCCGATCATATCAATTATGTCAAATTTTTGACAGTTTGGAAAGTAAAAAATTAAAATCCTAAAAGTTTAAATTAAATAGTTTGGAAAGTAAAAAGTTTAAATCTTTTTTAACAAACATTCATCAAACATTTTGTCTAATAGTAAAAAATGAATTAATTAGAGGTACCAATAAAAAATTTAAATAATTCTCTTTCTGTTCATCGGTAACCGGCACTTCTCGCATTTTCATTTTTCGCACTCTCGTCGATTTTTCTTCTTGCAACTAAAAATTATCTAAACTCTTGAAGGTAAAAGCAACATTTTAAATTTTAATCATTTAAAACACTATGCTCACCTATACCCCTGGAAGTTAAAGTAATATATATCAAACTGTAATCATTTAAAATACTAACCTATATCCTGGAAGTTAAGTAATATATACACATAAATAAATAATTGCACATTTATTAGGCGCTAACATTTGCGCAATAATATATATTAATACAAAATTTTTTAATGCTAAGTTTATTTAATTATTTAATATAAAAGTTTAGTAATTAATAGTAATTAGAAATTAAACAGTTGCAACAACCAATAAAATTAAGTTTTAAATTAAAAATTATAATGACAAAAATGATTTATTGTATTAATTGTCGTAATTTTAATTAACACGTAAAAACGTAGAATTTTTGATGGATACACGTGTGAAGCGTAAATGAAACCAATGCTAATAATAAGTTATTTTAAAAAAAACTAAACAAACCACTGATTTCTTTTCCATACTTCTCTTTTTCTCTCGTTTAGTTTTACCTTCGCTTGCTCTTTCTCTTTTCTTCCGTTTCTTTTCACGTTTACTTCTCAATGAAAATGTGTTAAAAAACTCACTCTTTATATCTTTACTTGACTTCTCATCATCATCTTTTACTTTACGGCTTTCTCGTTTACTTTTTATTTCTAAACAACTTCTTTTGTTTTTCATTTCCAAATTTGTTTTAATAATTAATTTAAGTAAAAAAAAGTTACAATAAATATAATCCCTTTTTTTTCAAATTTAAATTTCAACAATTAATTTAATGCTTTTAATTATATGTTATATAAATTCATTAATTAAAAACAATAATTTAATGCTTTTAATTATATATTATATAATTATAATTATATATTATATAAAATATGAATAATAAAAATAAGAATTTATATGTATTATATAAATTCGTATTTTCATTATTCATATTTTATATAATTATATAATGATTGAACAAAATTTAATCGATCAAAAAAATTTATAATTTTAAATAGTTAAATTAACAAACTATCCGGTTGAGATTCCGTTCTATCATTTGTTGCAGTACGTTTTTGACGTAACTTCTGAAATTGTAATTTGAAATCATAATTATTAGCAAAACAAAATTTTAGAAATCTTTTTTACTATTGCAATAACTTTTTTTGTAAATTGCAAATTTTTTCAAAATTAATTGATTTTGATTACGAATTTTTATTTCCGATATATCGTATTTTTCTATTGCTATTATATAGCAATAGGAGAATATGATATTTTCAGAATATATAACTATGTTTATTTATATACAAATGTCGAAAGTTTCAGATTGAATTTAAGATTCAAACCGATTAATTAATTGGTATATGATTGTAAGGAATATGATATATTCAGAATTATATAAATATGTATATTTATATATATAGGATATTTTAGGTTGAATTTAAGGTACAAATCGATTAATTAATTGATATATATATAATTTTAAGGAATATATTCCTAACTTTTTAAATTAATACAATTAATATTTTTTCTTAATTAATACAATTAAAAAAGCTTTCTTAATTAATTTCTTAATTACTACAATTAATAAAGCTAAATTATATGAACCATTTTTTTAAATTTTTCCATCATCAATTTTCGATATTCCATTTTTTCCTTTTGATCAACTCACGCTAATTTGCAGGTATGAAATCACCAAATAAGCTTGTTGACACCTTAAAAATGAGAAAAATTTTTATTAAAAACTTTTTTATAGTTTTATGAAAAAATTTGCATAAACAATGAAATTTTTAATTAATAAAAAAAACAAAACTTTTTTAATTAACAAAATATATTTTATTCAAATTAAAACAAATAAGCAAATTATTAATGTTCAAATTTTCTTTTTAATAATAGCACAATATATGATAATTTGCAAATTTTTGATATGATAATTAATAAATAATTTTCATCCTTTTTAATTATTGAATTTATTAAAATGTTTGTTTAAAAAATTTACATATATGAAAATTTTGATTGAAAAAGTAATTACTTATTTTTATTTAATGATATATATATGCCAATGTGTATGGTTGCTATTTTCGCTTAGTGTGATAACAATTACGAATGGCCGTAAAATCATGCATTGGCAGTTGTCAGTTGATTAGAATTCGTGATGGTGACCTCTGACCTTCTCGTGTTTTCCAAATAAACATTTGTTTTGTTTTTTTTGATTTTCAACAGAATTATTAAATTTTTTAATGTAAATTATCAATCATAGTACACAGTAAATTATTAATTATTAATCATAGTATACAGTAAATTATTAATCACAGTAAATTATTAATCGTAGTAAAAATACGGTAAAATAATACGGTAAAAAAATTTTGCGAATATTTTTCTAAATAAATGAAATTTCGATTAAATTAAAAATAAAATTATCAAAGAGAATATTGTGTATTTAAAAATGAAAGAAATATTTCAGATCAAAAAATACTTTAGAAATTTCGATGATAATTTTATTTACGATTGCATTTATTATTCTTTGCTTAACTATTATTATTATCATAATACGTTATTATACACGACGAAAGTAATTTCTTTATTTTATTTTATAGTTTTCGAAAATATTTTAATCGATTATTCGATATATTAATCGAAATTGGAATTGAAAAATTTTTGAATTAAAAATTTAATTACAAATTTCATTGTTTTAGATCATTTTGATTCTTACATTTTCTTTTATCTTTTCCAGTCAATTAAAACGAGTAGAAAAACAAATTCAACAATTTGATGAATTAATGGAGAGAACGAAAAAGAAACATCAAATAATTCATGAATTACATAAACAGGAAATAGATACGAATACAATAAGAAATACAAAAACAACAATAAGGTGACTTTTGTTAAAATTTTCTTAATTTTTTACTTATACAATAAGCATAATTTTGTTTGCTTAATAAGCATTGCTCAATTAATGAGCGAAATTTACAATAAGGCATTTTGTTAGCTCTTGTTGAAAATTAAATTTATTTTCTTTTTTACTTATACAATAAACATAATTTTATTCGCTTAACAAGCACTGCTCAATCAATAAGCGTATTTGGTATACGTTTGATAGAAATAGCAAAATTCTAACACAGTAATATAACTTTTTTTTTGATTACTATCATTATTTGTTTTTTTGCTTTCCGAAAAAGTAAACAAATTTTTTTCCAAAAATAAATAAATAAACAAAAACAAATGAAACAATTTTCTTTGAAAATGATAGAACTCAACAATATAATGTGACTTTTTATAATTTTTAATTGGCAAATAAGTAAACAAATTTAACATTCATTAATTATGCATGATATAATGAAAATAACAGTACTCCAACATATAATGTAAATCATTTCTTTTTGAAATAATTAAAAGTAAAATATTAGAAGAAACTATGTTTACTGTTTATTGAAATAGCAATTAATTATGTACAGTCTAATTGTTATGTGAGATACCTTACAGGTATAGTCTCTTCATATTATTTATCCATCTTTTTTTTGATTTACTGAATAGTTTACCGCTCTATTTTTCCTTCTATTATGAATATTTAAAAAAGCATTCACAAAATCACTGCAGCAGAATTGCCGAATCACCGGCAATATCAGAAGAACAATTTAGAACGATAGTACCAAATGTGGAAAATTTCGAATCAATAGATGAATATGGTCGAAATATATCACGCATACAAATACCACGAAGTATACTTTATGAAAATGCTATTGAAATTAAAAAAATTTATGAAAAAAATGACGATGATGATGGTGATAATGATAACGATAATGATAGTGATAATGGTGAAGAACGGATGAATATATTATAATTTGATTTAAAAAAAAGTTTTCTTTAACTCATGAAGAAAAATACATTTGGTAATCTATTATCATAATTTTTAAATTTAAATTTTCATCATTATTATTATTATAATTGCTTTTTGTTTTCATTATTTATTATTTATCAAATTCTTGTTCTTTAAATTATTTTATTTTATCCAACAAAGTTTAATGTTTCTTTAAACTATTCGTTTTATATCGATTTAGATTTATAATGGAAAAGTTGTAATTTTTGATGATTTGATTTAATGAATTGATGTTTATGATGGAAAACTTGCAACTTTTTTCAAATCTGCAACTATTTGCAACAACTTGCAACTTGCAAATAGTTGCAAATTTGAAAAAAGAAATGCAATTGCTTGATTTATGTTACATTAGCAAAATTGAAGTTGGAATTGAAAGTTTTAAAATGCATACAAATTATCAATTCTTCGTTACTACGTTTTCCATTTTATTCTACTACAAAAGAATAGGAAGAATCTATCGAATTAAAAATATAGAATTTCTATCAGATTCTTTCATGAGGAAAATATAAATAAATTCCTAATATATTTTCTCATCTTTAGCTCACATATGATTTCATTTGTTTTTTCATTTTAATATTGGAAATAATTGCGTTGGAATTAAAATTTCAAATGATTGTAATTACTGTTTATCATTGATGAAATATTTCAATTATCCTCCTTATCACAGTTAAAATCGTACGAAAATTATCATTCATTAAATGATAACATGTGAATAAATTGCATTATCATTTAATTTACGTTATGTTTAGTTCAAAGATAAATAAACAATGTTAATGCTTAACATATACTTAACTATGATACTTAACATGATACTTATGATGCTTAACTTCTGACTTTTATGATACCTAACTTATGATACTTGTGATACTAACTTATGATCTATGATACCTAACATATGCTATGATACTAACATGTGCTATGATACTAAACATTTATGTAAATGACAGTATTGTAAAGAAAGTACTAAAATTCAATTTAAAATATTGATTAAATAATTACTGGAAATTTTGGGCAAATTTAGTAATTCAAAAATTTGAAATCATTCGTACTGATGCCTTAGGCATCCTTTCGATGTTATCTTTCAAGACTTCTAATTACATACCTTTTCATCCCGCGGAAAAGAAAAAAAGAAATGTTTAAAAATTGAAAACGATCATTTCTCTTTTTTGCAATTAAAACTACTCAAGCATATTGGAGCTGTTCCAATGTAATTATTGGAAAATAATTTGTAAAGAATTTTACTTATTGTTATTACTATTATTATTATTACCGTTATTATTTAATACTGTTAATAATATTACTATTTATCATTATTATTACCATTTATTTTTTACTATTTATTATTATTGTTAATTAACATTATTAATTATTACTATTGTTGATTATCACTATTATTATTTATTATTAATAATTAATTGTTATTAATTGCAATAATTATTATTAATTATTACCATTAATAATTGCAATTATTGTTAATTATTATTATTAGTAATTATTGTAATTATTATTACTATTATCACTATTACAATTGTTATTATTATTTATTACTTGCTTATTTTTCGGTGTGTTGAATATTTCAAAATTTACTGAAAGCACCAACTGTGCAGTTTGGGAAAAGTGTTGCATTGTGCAGGTCGAAAAGTACGTTGCATAATGGAAGCACGTGTTTGCAATATATCATTGCAAAAATTGAACTGACAATCAGTGCCAGCGGTTTAGTGCACTGATGCAGAGAAGAGATTGTAGGAATTTCGTTATTGTAATGGTGTTAATTGAATTTTGGTTAGGAATGATTAGACATAATGGATATTCTATCCTATTATACTCATTAATATTCTATTATTTAAATGAATTTGTAGTCTGTAGTAATATTTGTATTTGTACATATTTGTAGTAATCTAATATGAATGCTTTATATTAACTAATATGCTTTATATTAACTAGTACTTTATATTAACTAGTATCGCTTGATCTGATCTATTTTTTTAGTAATTGCTTGATGGCTTCTGCTAAAATTGTCGAAATTATTTGATAATTAATAGTCTTACTACTGTTTTTTACTCTACTGGCGAGTCGATTCTCACTTCTTCCAGCATATTGGACTATATAATAGAATGATCTATTCGTTATATCTTTTGTATACATCGGTATCTATTTTTTTTCAGATTGACTTTTATCTTCAATATTTATCGGTTGGACAATGTTTCATTGGGATCAGAAGTTGTTCTTGAATGGCTACAAGGTTTTATTTGTATACATTTCTGCAAAATGTTCAATCAAGACAAGAGAAAGTCCATGGATTAAATATTTAGCATAGAATGAAGTTTACGGTAAACGAATGATACTCTGTAAATATGAATATTCGAGGCTTATCGCTGGCAAGTATAGTCTTACAGAATGAATTTCTCAGATTTCGCTCAGCTGGACTAAGAAATAGAGTAAGGTCATATTTTAAAACCATTCTACAATGGAACAACGATGTTGGGGAAGTGCTTGCTCGAATTTCATAATTGTTTTTCTCATTTCCTACAGGCTTTCGTACGTGCTGTACGCAAACTAAGTCTTAAGGAGCATCAAGGTATATCGTTGCTTAAACAGGCTGGCATACCTGTTGCACCATTTGGTGTTTCCCGAAGTGCTAATGAATTGTATGAAGAAGCTCGAAGAATTGGTGAGTTTATATATTCAGAAATGAAAGTTATCATATCGTTTATTAATCACCAATGAAAAAATGCAAAAAATTATTCCATAATTTGGTAAATTTTTGTATTTCATTTGCCATTGGTTTTTTTTCCGAAAATTACTATAGATTTTGCGTTATTAGTTATTGCCTAACTAACGGGATATTGTTGCGTGATGGCTTTTACATTGTTATTGCAAAATAGAATGAATTGAATTTTGTGTTAATCAGTTAATTGAATTGTTTTTGTTGGTGGGGATGAATGTTTGTAATGATAATGAATTTTAATTAATCTCTAGAACTGTCTATCATATATCGTTTTTCAACCGTTGTAGTACTGCAGGTGGTAAAGATCTCGTCATAAAAGCGCAAGTACTAACTGGTGGACGAGGGAAAGGATATTTTGAATCGGGCTTAGAAGGTGGAGTGCAACTCGTTTTTTCGTAAGTTTCTCTTTAGATTGTTTATAGATAAAATAAGGAATGAAATAGAATAAAATTCATTAAATTTTACTGCTTCGTATTTCTAAGGGTAAAATCTTCTAGTCCTGAAGAAGCGCGTGAGAAAGCTTCAATGATGTTGGGTTCGAAAATTTTCACGAAACAAACAGGTCCAGCTGGTAAACTCTGCGATGAAGTAATGATTTGCAAACGATTGTTTACACGACGAGAATTTTATTTTTCCATTACAATGGATCGGCACACCGGAGTAAGTTCATATCATGAAGCTTGCGTTTTCTAAGAGCAAGCTTGATTTCTCTCTTCCACTTGATTTTTCTCATTTTTTTAATTTGTATTTCGCTCTTTTCTTTCGTTTTAGTTGAATATATAGTTTATTTTTTCTTTTTTTGAATATATAGTTTAGTTTTTTTCACACTTTTTTCTAATTATTAAATTTTCTCATTCTATTTCTCTTATCTATTATTCTTTTTCTAATGTCTTCTTCATTTTTCTGACCAAAACAAGCATTATTATTGCAGGGTCCGGTAGCTATAGGTTCGTCGAAAGGTGGCGTTAACATAGAGGAGGTAGCTGCGAAAGACCCGAAAGCTATCGTCAAATGTCCAATCAACATATTTGAAGGCATGACAGATGCAGAAGCCAGTTCAATGGCCGATAGAATGGGTTTCAAGGTTTTTCCCCTATGTTTTAGAAGTTAAAATGCTACTTTTTTCTTTGACTTCACTAATCGGAACAGAGAATCCACTAACAAACTGGTAATAATTCTATACAATGATTATCTTTTCTCTATCACCAAGATTACAAAAGATTTTCTGCTACAGAGAGAGCTACAACACTTTATTAGGATATGAAATAAAACCTGTTACGGACTGTGTAGTTCTTTATCTAACGCTAATTGATGAGACTGAGATTTTCAGGATGGTCTCAAGGCGCAAGCAGTTGATATTTTTAAGAAATTATACAACTTATTTATTAAATATGATGCAACACTTATTGAAATCAATCCAATGGCGGAAGATATCAATGAAAAACGTTGGTTTTAATAAAGTTTTAAGTTTCTATCTTTTGAACTATTACTGCGATGCTTGCAGTGTCATTTGACATTACATTGTGTTTTTATAGTAGGCGAATTTTAATCGTCAGAATTAGTTTGTGTTTCTGATCGTTATAATGGGTTTTTTATGTTCATAAATCATCATCTTGTTTGAGATTTCAGCCGTTTAGAAATGTTAACTCTTCAAATTTTTGAAAATCTTGCAGCAATTACAAAATCACTGAATGTTAATTAAGAAACTGCAAATAGGATACGCAAAATAGTTATCTAAAAAAAGTTCCATCGTTAGTTCAAGCTACTCATCTACTCATTCAAGCTACATCTAATTTGATGCCATTGTTGCCATTATTTTTCCTTTCTTTTTTCGATTATCTCAGAGATTTCTTCGCTGGCCACATTTTCATCAGTATATTTATTTTAAAAATTTTCATCAATTTTTTTATTAAATTCCTTTTTAAGTCTACTGTTTGGATTGTAAGCTGAATATTGATTCAAATGCGAGTCATCGACAAAAAGAAATATTTGCTATGAAAGAACAACAGCAGCAAGATCCTCTGGAATTGCGCGCAGCAAAAGCTAATCTTAATTATGTTAGACTGGATGGTAACATCGGTTGTATGGGTAATTTTAATTTGTTGTTTTATTTAAAGTTGTTTTTATTCTTTTCATTTCATCTCAATTAGAGATTTGTAGGATTGCTATAAGTTAAATGTTTTTAATACGAGTTGACCACGAAGTTTTACTGGATTATGCAAAGTTCAGTAAATGGAGCTGGGTTGGCGATGGCAACTATGGATATTATCAAATTTCATGGTGGTGACCCAGCAAATTTCCTTGATGTTGGAGGTGGCGCTGTTGCCAAACAAGTTGCTGAGGCTTTTCGGATCATCACTGCTGATGCAGATAAGGTAAAAAATTTTGTGATGAAAGTTGTGGACAAAAATTTCCATTTCCTATTCTTTTTAAAAAACAGTTTATAAAAATTCAATGCAGGCTACCGCTTAAATATAGAATGCATGTTTTGTTTAGATTAATGCAATCCTTGTGAATATTTTTGGTGGTATCATGCTCTGTGATGTCATTGCACAGGGTATGATCGATGCTGTCAGTGAACTTCACCTTAAAGTTCCCGTTGTTATTCGCTTGCAAGGTTGGTTTTCTCTGTTTTCCTTTTCAGGTTGTACGAACAAATTTTTTTTCTTGATCGAAATCTCTCTATGATGTGTTTCTCCAACTTTTATATTATATTTTCACCTTTTACTGGTTTTCATATTTTCAATATTTTATCCTTCCATATCAGTTACACATTTAGAAAGATGCATCATAGCAATAGTGATTTACGCAAGTGTAATTTAACAATATGGTATTAAACAATTAGTGATTGAATGAGACGAATTGATCCTATAGTAACTATGGCAAAAGCTTTATGGATGAAAGAACAAGGTTGTAATAATAATTAAGAAAAATTTCATAATTGAAGTAACAAAGTTGAGAAGAGAGAGGATCACGAAAAAAAGCTGTAACTCGTCTAAACCAGAGGAAAGTCTGTTTTTTTTAGGTACTCGTGTTGAACACGCCAAGGCACTGATTGAAGCTGCTAATTTGCGAATGATTTCATGCGATGACTTAGATCAAGCAGCGAAATTGGTTGTGAAGTTGTCGGAAATAGTTCAACTGGCACGATCTGTACCGATTGATGTGTCTTTCCAGCTTCCCTCTTAATTTTCAGTTTTAGCCGAAGTGATGTAAAGTTAGTAGTTGATATTGATTTATGCCCATCTTGTTAATATGTTTCTACGGTCTGTTGAAATAAAAAAGTTTGTATACATTGTCTTCTTGCACAGTGCTTTTTGTGACTGTTTTTTATTTTGACTGAAAAAATTTCCCTACTGTTTGTAATTCTTTATTAGTAATGAATTTATATGCTTAATATTATTGAGCTCCTTAACTGCTTGAAGGGTTTTAGAGAGTATATAATTGGCATAAGTCCTATTTTCAAAATCAAAAAAATGGAATTCAAGAGGAATGTTTTCTGTTACGGTGGTCTACTATTAAAATTCGTGAGGTTTTTTCAAAGGAACATTCGTAGCAAACTCTCCAACAGTGCAATTTTTTACTATCGTACTACTGAATGGTAATTGTTTTATATTTGTGCGAAAAGAATGCGAAGATCAATACTTTTATTAACCAGATAAAAGACCCGGTTTCTGTATTCAATAATAAGTGCTTTAATTCCCAAATGTTGTTTCTTGGTTACGACCTCGCTGTTCTCTTCTTTTTTGTTTATTTTTTGCTCGTTTATTGTATCACTTATCCAACAAGCTTTTTCCTCAGTATTATGTATTTACCTCGCCAGCATCGACGAAAGAGCCTATTGGTTGATGATAATGGATTCTATTGATTTATGTTTTGTTTTTATTAAATTATCGATTATTAAAATATTTTCATGTTTGTCTGCATAGGGTTTCTCACTTGAAAAAAACGAATCTTCCATTTTGCAACATGTTATCAGTTTTGTTTTTCATTGAAATTGTCAAGAAGAAAATGTGAAAATATATGTGTTGTCAATAATTATGTGTTTGTAACATGCCGGTAAGATTAATTTCTTCTATTCTTTTTATATACATCATCCCATTGGTTAAAAATTTTCCGTAATCTTATACTCATCTAATCACATCAAATGAAAAAGTTGTGTTATCTTCGAATTGTTGAGTGAATGATTGTTCCGTTTTCCTTTTCCTATATTTTCGGAATGATTGCAATGGCTGAAATCAGGTAATTGCTTGTGCTTTTTTTGAATTTGTAAACAGGATGAAATTTCTTCATCCTATTTACATGTTTTTGTGTAACATTTATCTTGTGTTATATTACGCACAAATATATTTTTATAATATAGGTTAATTTTTAGTAGTAATTATAATTAAGGACAAGAATACGCCTTTCTATTGTTTACAACTGAATTATTCTATTTGATTAGATATCACCATCATCATTTAATTTTTTTCTTATTTGATATTAATGTTATTTATTATTTCCGTAAGGTGTATTCTGAAACAATCGGTCTCCATTTATGGACTCACTTTCGGTCTGTTTCCTTTACTCTCAATATTATTCATTAGTTCTTAATACATAGTCAAGTTTGCTAGACATTTTCACTTACTGTTAATATATCAGATAAAGTGTGTAGCTTTCCTGGTGACAATTTATTTGTTTAATAAATTAGAGGTGTGACAGAATTTTCGTGGCTTTTCGTTAGTTTTCAAAGTATGCAAATAAACGGTATTTGTTTTATTCAAGTTTCATCCATGTTCAGTCGGGGGTTTCATAAAGTATCTGATTTATTAGCTTAACTCAATTCTTAATTCATTGCTGAAAATGTTCACAAATAAATGTTTTGCCATTACATATAAATGAAGCAAATGTTAGCTGATATTCCTACATTAAATTTATTATTATAACTCATTTAGGAAATCATATTTTGCTAACAAAATTTTTTCAAATGAAAATTAAGAAATTTTTTTGTTAATGATTTGAAAACAATCTTCATCAATAAGCTTGCTTCTTTTACAATGTAAATAATTTCAGAAAGCAAAAAGACAATATAAGCTCGAAAATAAGCTCACAAGTGACAGATGCAATTTTTTTGACGTTCTCATTTGCTTTTCTGTTTGCAACAAGTCTCACTTCAAGCTTTACCATTTTCGTTGCAGCTATAATAATAATCAATTGTATTGGTGGTAGACTAATTCCATGTCGAAGGTTAAGTTTTTCAATTAATTTCAGGACTTTCTACGGATAACGTATAACACAATTTTACGTATAACACAATTCGTGCGTCGAGCGAATCATTTGCGAAGTATTGGTTTATCGATTTCATTTATCAATTTTTCTATTTCATATATTCATTATTTGGAATTTATCTACAGCATGCTTTCTCATTTTTCCTAATGAAAATGTCTGATGTATAATTTAGTTGACAGTATTTGAATATACTAATTTATGCTATCGTATTTCTTCATGTTTGTATTGAAATGTAATAATACGCTTATCAGATCTTATACTCCTTAAAGATATCAGAAGAAATTTTCTGATAATACCATCACAGTCAAATCCATAACAAGAATTCTTTATTATAGGATGGGATGATTTCTTTTTCATTTATTAAGTAGATAGATATCAAACAGATTAAACAGATGGAAAATTATGTCTTCATGCTTTTATCTTTTAATGATAGAAAAAATTTCATTGATGGCAATTAAAATAATTGAGATATACTTATTGTGAGTATTCTTCAAGGATTTTTGCTCGAAGTTTAGGTAAGATTAACAGTTAATGATTTGGTTTAATTCTTTTTCAAAAATAATCATTGAAGTTATTTTTATATATTTATAATATATATATCTATTTTTAGGACTAACAACTATGGCAACATTAACTGTAAGAGAGGGCATCGATCTTGAGCTACAAGCCTCCAAAGATACTCAAATTTTACTAATAGGCAAGAAGAAACTTGTCAAGAATATCAAATTCGATGACGATATTATGGCGAAATTCTCGGGTTTTGTCACTTCTAAAACTTGGGGTTCATTAATGGAAACATTAACTGAAAATAGTCCAGCAACAATACCACTGTATTTGAATTTAGCTACCGTTTGTTTTTAAAACGATTTTCCTCTCTCGAAATTTACAGTTTAACATATTGATTTTCAATGTAATCATTTTCGACATTTTGATGTTTACTCTATTTTTTAATATAATCATTATATCTGATTTTTAATATGATCACTTTCGACCTTTTTTAATATGGTCACTGTGTCACATTATCATCAATTTTAACCTTTTTTTCCCCAGGTAATTTTATTTTGAGAATTGGGAAAATTAGTTTAGTGACATTAAAGAATATTTTTACCTTACAATTTTGGTATATATAACTGTAGCATATATAAGGATATTTATCATTCTATCCTCTTTCTTGGATTGTTACACGATCAAAGTTTAGAAGTTTAGAAGGCTATAGAAGTATCACTACTATTAAGAATGGATTTGGGAAAATTACTTGATATTATAGCTTATAAGTTTTCAAAAGAAGACAACACTGATTAAGCAATAATTAAAATAATGACATTAATTATACAATGTTTTATATATTGAACGGAATTATTGTAAAAACTGATTTCACAGAACATTTTAACGTAATTTTTGAATTTGAATTTAAGGTTATTGCTGTGGCAGATGAATCGAGTCGACATAATGCTCCTTCAAACGCTATATCAATTTTTAAAGAAGTGAAAAAGGCAAGTCAGAGAGATGGAATTAAGGTCAGATTTTCCTAATTACATTTTCATTTATGTCAGTTGATGAAGTCATAGGTCGCTGTTCATTGGACAAAATAGTTTCACCTGCCAGGTGTCTCATTATACTGTGGAATACGTCCGAAGACTTCAAGAAGAATAGTAGGAATAGATTAACTAAAAGCAAAATAATGAACGTAAGATATTGATGAATTGCCAAATAAGGATAAGCTATTATTAAAATGAAATTTATAGAGTTAACAAATCATTCTCATAGATTACGAATATTAGTAATATCAAATGAATATTTTCCATACTCAATAAAAGAAACATCTTTTTTTTCATTTTGAATTATTCTTTCTATATTATCCATCCATTTGTTAACCTATTATTATTTGCTTTGCCTTCCGCTATAAATCTTATCATTAAAAAATTGTTATATATTTAAAGAAAAAGATGCATTTCAGAATGTCTCTGTAATTTTATATGGAATACTAGCAGATGTGTTTCCAAGTGTTGCTGCAATAGCACGTTGTTATCCTCTTTATAGTCGATTAACTGAAAATCGCGACAGTTTAGAGAATGTTCAAATTGAAGTTGTTGTTGCTGATGGCAAAGTATATTTCCTATTCTATATTGTAGTTTCTTTTTTTTTAGTTTTTTCGTCGTTTTCAAAGTCGATAAATATATCTGTCACATGTGATATTTATTCTGAGAAATGTGAGGAAGTGTGGTAAGCATATCTATATGAGTTTCTTCGACTTTATCCGAACATTTTTAATTTACTGTTGATATGCTTTAACTCTTATAAAGCTCTTTCAAGATTTATACTACCTGAATTTCATTTGATTCATTCTTTTTATAATGGAGTGGTTAGAATTTTGATGACCTATATATATATATAGGCTAGGATATAATGTAACAATTACTTATATAGCATGCCCTTACCTGTCTTTTCTAATAATTTGTATAATGTTATTATTGTTATCATTATGCAGAAGCTCACAAATCTTGATCTGTTGTTTCTCCAAACGTTGACGGAATCGATTCGAAATACTGCTCGCCTAATTGATATGCCATATAATGAGCTTAATACGGAACAGTTTGTTGCTGAAGCTAGTGAATTAATTTCAACACTTCCGAATATACGAAGTACAATTATCAAGGTTAACAGATTTTTCAACTCTAATTTGTCACATACTTATTCATAACTTAGACTTGTGATGAATAATAAAAAATTAAATAGCTAGTATTGTAGGTTTGCAATGAGAAAACTAGTACTTGGTATAAATATAACGGTGAAATCTATGTGCTGCAAGTCAGTGGTATTAATTAAAAAGCTCTTTGTCCCCGTTTATCAATCGAAACATCCCGTAAACAATTTGGAATTTAACCTTAAGAAAAGTTTTTTTAAAAAAGTTTTCTTCGATAGTAATTTGTTGACATCAAGAATATCGAGGAGTATTGAAAAATGGGAAGACACTCAGTGAATTTATTTTTAACGGTCGAGTAATTGTGTCATATGCAAGGGTCATAGATGGAAACTTACCATATCAGTTGGGCTTTTAACTGATTACTGTAATTCATTCTTTAATTAAGTGCATTTTTGAGATCATAGCACTTCAAGCGTGATTTCTCAAATTTCAGGGCAATGATTTACTTGAAAAAGGTTTTGGAGGGATATATCATGTTGGTAAGGCATCATCTTCACCACCGATTTTTGCATGCTTTAGCCATAAGCCACCAAATGCTACGAAAACATACGCTATGGTTGGAAAAGGTATAGTGTATGATACAGGTGGTATGCAGATTAAAACGAAAACTTCAATGCCTGGTATATATTTTGTGCTAATATTTTATTACTTATCAATTTCTGGAACTATGTGGTAATATTTAGTTTGAGACGCGATGTTGTTACCAGCTGATCAAGACTGATATTTTTTTGAGATGAAAATGGACTTATTGATTTCTATACCTAGTATTTAAAATGTTTGAAAATATGCATATTATCCGTGATTTATTCATTTTGATAACTTAGTTATAAAAAAATTGTTTAGTTACATTTAAACTTGTTTAGTTACATTTAAGCTTAAGTATGAATATGAATAGTGTATTAAAATTTAATTATTTAAGTTTTAATATAGTGTAGTAAATATCATAGGATATCAAATCTTTGTTTTATTTTCACAACCATTGTTGGAGGAAAAGTCAAACAGGGGGAGATATGGAGGGGAGAGCTATAAATGAAAAGCGAATCTTTATTTGAAATATTCTTTTCAAATTGATCGAACTGGATGTTTCAAATGAATCAAATTAAATTTCTTGGAATCGACTTAAAAATCAGGGCAAAAATGTTAACAGAATTGTTCGATTGCTAAAATATTTTTACATTAAGTGATGGTGCATATACATCGATGTAGTTAAAAAGATCAATCTTAAAAAAGCTAGATAACATCAAGCTGCGAAGGTATTTTTTTTAATTTAAAAATATTATTAGTAAAGGTTCGAAATGGTTCGATATTTGGCAAGTCTCGGAAAAGAAATATTCTCTTCAATTTCAGGTATGAAGAACGATATGGGTGGTGCAGCTGCTTTACTTGGTTCATTTTATACCTTGGTAAAATTGGGCTTTAAACAAAACTTGCACTGTTTACTATGCGTCGCAGATAATGCTATTTCGCATATTGCAAAGTACTTGATTTTTTTTTCAATTGTTGTATTGTTTTGAAAAGTTGAATTTAAGTTAGTCTTTCTTATTGGGTTTGAATAAATCCTTAATATTGAAAAAGAGGCATTTTTCAGATATAAATTTAAGTCAAAAATGATTTAAATTATTTTATTGGGGCAGTAATGATTAAAATTAATTTATTTTGAAAGTATCCATAATAAAAGTAATAAAAGTAGTAATAAAAAAGAAAAACAGTAAAAATCGAAAAGAAATGGAAATAAAAAACAGCGAAAGTGATTTAAAATATTGTAGAAACTGGGACTTTTAAGAATTTTTACTTTAAAATAACCTATCGATAATAAGTTCGCAGGTGTCGAGAAATTTGCTTTTCCTATTTTCAAATTTCCATTTAAGCCGTCCGGATGACATTATAACGATGTTAAGTGGTAAAACGGTTGAAATCACGAATACGGATGCCGAAGGTCGTCTCGTATTAGCTGATGGTGTTTATTATGCGAAAAATATGCTCAAAGTCTGTTTCCTCAATTTCTTAATTTCCTAAATTTTACGATAATTAGTAAAAATGGTCAAAGTTATTACTTTTATTAAATTTTTTCTGAACATGAACTTATAATTCCAGTTGTGGCTGCAGTTTGCTTTCGATAAAAATGTTATCTAATTTGAAGTAGTAATCTAATTTGAAGTATTAAAGATTAGAACTTGCACCTTTTGCATGACGTAATAAACTTTTGATGATGTTAAAGAGTTCGTTTTCCTTATATGCAAAAATAGCTGATCACAGGATGTGAAGAACGGAACAAGATGTATAGCAAATGAATAGCTACAAGAGCAGAAAGATGGAATTCATTAAACTGTTTAATTTCTACAATTTAGATTGAATATGCCTGCCTTTGACAGAATTTGAGATTTTGATTCCTGACATTTTTTTCTGAATTCAATTCCAGGCTGATACAATAATCGATATGGCGACATTAACAGGTGCACAAGAACTTGCAACTGGAAAACTCCACGCTGCTGTATTAACCAATAGTGAAGAATGGGAGAATCGTGCTTGTAAAGCTGGACAAGCTAGCGGTGACCTTGTTCATCCGTTACCGTTTTGTCCGGACTTGCATTTTAATGATTTGAAAAGTCCCATAGCAGATATGCGAAATTCAACTTTTGCCAAAGGGCAGGTGAAAATTTTCTCAAATATTACGAAGGGTAAACTTGAAATTTAAATAAGAGATGATTTTTGCAAGTAACATCTAAAGAGTTGATCTAAGAAAAAGGAATTACTTTGGCGATTAGCGGTGAATTACATTATAGTAAGCAATGAATTACATTATCACAACTTAGAACTCTTATTATGATAAGAGTTTCAGCTTTTCCCGGTATTCTAATTACCATTGCAATTATAAATAAAAGTTTAGGGACCTAAAAGCTCTATTGCTGGTCTGTTTATTGCATCGCATATTGATTTTGGAAGCGGCTTGAATTGGATACATTTTGATATTGCTTCTCCTGTGGAAAGTTGCAGTCGTGCAACAGGTTATGGTCCTGCTCTGATTTGCGCACTTCTTGCATCCGATCTGGATGTTCCGCTGCTTAAAACTTTGCAGTGAAATACATTGCATAGTTGAAAAAAATGAGAAACTTCAAATTATTCTAATGAAAATTTATCTTAAAAGGGGGTTTTTCTGTGGGAGGCAACGAGAAAATTATAACACTTGCTTTATGTTTTTGCATCTTTGTCCAAACTTGGAACTTCACCGTAATTGTTACCATTTTCGTGAAGTGTAATGATGGGAATATTTTAAAATTTATTTACAATTATGATTTTGGATAGATGAAATAGATTTTTTTCCTTAACAAAAATTTGGAATTGATAAGCAACTTTGTTGGTTATAACAATTTAACGAATTTTTATTGTATCAAAAATTCGACCATCAAACTTACTTCATTCCAGGAAAACATCATTACTACTGCTTAACCATGTTACCGTGCTTCCCAACAAACACTTGTATACTTACTGACGATGTTAATTAATATAAAAATTAGTCGTTGGCATTGTAATTATTATGATTACACTTATAATATTAAGTGTTTTTCCTAAAAGTTGGTAAATTGGAGAGTAGAAGGATTTTGATGATGTCCTTTTATAAATAAATAATCTGTTATGAAAATTATAAAGTTTCATTTTTCGAAATATTTGAAAATATTAAACATCAAAATTTCATTTATCAAAAGATTTTTACGAAATAATTTAACAGTATTATTTATTAGGAGGAAATATTGCGAATTGGATTACAGTAAACGAACGATTTTCCTTAGGATAATAAATTTTTTTATTAATTCTAAAGAAGATCGCAAGTTCACGCTTTAACATTTCCTGATGATACGGTTGAATCGGTTGAAATCGGTTGGTAACAGTATGCAAGGTTTGTAACTATTATTCGAAGTGCAACAAATATACACTCACTGTACAACATGTTAACCACTATTAATTTTCTTCTTAATTTCATCCAAAAATTCATAAGTAGATTAAAGTATGTTAAAGGCCATTCATGATAGAACAAATTACTATTATCTTATAACATTGACATAGGAAATACCACATGAACATAAAAGGTTTTGATGAAACTTTATTCCGAAAACGAAGAGTTGTGAGAAGCGGCGGAATAAGATGACATTTTGATTGCCTTAGCTTTCGCATATTGTTATGTTACATTCATTTAGTCAGCTGAAAATTCAAAATGTTACAGGAAACGACTTTATCAATTGATAAGAATGAAAAAAGAGAAATTCTTTTTCTTCCTACAAGAACGCTTCAATTTCTCTCTTTTAATTTATCTTAAAACAATAATTCCCACCTCGATAAACTTAGCCAGCTAATCATATCTTTGAGAGATCCTAAAGATAATAAATTAAATTTGTTTTAATTAATTTGTTTTTATAGTATTGAGAAATTTTTTTCCTTCAGCTCACCGTTTGTTTGCATTAATAATTAAAATATAGAAAAAGAAAAGGAAAATAGTTTCGTAATTTCGTTTTCTTTATCGATATCGTAAGAAGATTATTATTGATTCACCTGATCGATAATATATTTAATAATTCCCTGAAAAAAGATCCGATTAACTAAACCCATAATAGAGCTCTTTCATAATGACTATCAATTACGTACATACACGTATTTATTCGTAAAAAACCAAACTGTCAAAATTATCAATCCACACAATCAAAGTGACAAAAGTATAAGAAAAAACAAAAGAAAATGAAGAAAAACATATTAAAAAAATTCGATTTATTTAATAATTATGGTATGAAAATTAGATGGAAAAGAACAGAAAAGTTAAGATGAGAAAGAGATTTTTCATTTTTATTACTTTCGTTACAACGAAAATAGCAATTAAATTTTAGGTGCCAGACAGGTGAATTATTCAATCATTTCTTTAATTTGCATGAAAATTACCTTTCCTTGCCTTTTCTCCTCAATAATCTCTCACTATCATGTGCATCATTTTACATCATTTTACGACACTTTGATGTTTGACTTTCTTCTTCTTCTTCTTCTTTATGTTTTATCAAACTAACGAAGAGAGAAACAGAAAAATGAGATAAAATTGATTTAAAAAATAACTTAGAATTATCTTAGAATAAGATAATTCCTAATTACTATTTGCATAACTATATTTGTATAACTATAAAATATTGGTGTAATATTGAAATTAATTAAAATTTTAAAAAGAAGTTTCACATGTGATATTTCTTTTTCTACCACTGCATCTTTTTCGTACTTATTGGATAACTTTAAATAATTGCAAATTTATATTTTTGGATAAATTTAGTTTCACTTTCAATAAATGATATATGCGAATTAAGCTTTCTATTGTTTACGAAAGCGTCGAAATCTTTCATCTTTCACTACATTTAATCTTTTGCTTTCAGAATCTATTAGTTTATTTCATTTCAATTTTAATTTTTATCCAATCATTAATCTTAATGAATCTCTCTCGGATTGGATGAGAGCCTAAAATTGGATATTATTAAAATGAAACAAATGATAAAGCGCCAAATAATTATTAGCTTTTTTGTAAAATTATTTAATTACTAATTTTTTTCCATGAAATTTTGGAAGAGTGAAAAAAATTCTGAAAAATAATAGGAAATTTTTCAAAAATAATTTCTAATAAATTTTTTGAAAAATGAAAAAATTTTTTTAAATTCATCATTTACTAATTATTTATTTATTTTAGGCCTTAAAATAAATTATATTTATTGAAAGATATTGCTAATAAATGATAAAAGAGATGAATACTTTCATCTTTCACTACATTTAATCTTTTGCTTTCAGAATCTATTAGTTTATTTCATTTCAATTTTAATTTTTATCCAATCATTAATCTTAATGAATCTCTCTCGGAGTTGTGGAACCTTATGATATGCCTAGCCTTATGAAATAACACCTTGGAAAATTTCGATTTTCCTTTTATTATTTGGGATGGCCTAATCTTATGGAAAAATGCCTTAGAAAATTTCGATTTTCCTTTTATTATTTGGGATAGCCTAACCTATGAAATAATGCCTTAGAAAATTTCGATTTCCCTTTTTATGAAAGGAAGAAATTGTCGGAAGAGGAGAAAGAAAAAGTTTGAAAATGTAGGAATTTAATTGTTCATCAAATAACTCATTGAAATGGATGCGCCTTATTTGTTCATTTATGATACATAGGAAAGGTTAAATGTTTCTTTGTTTAAATTTTATTTCATACTCAAAAACTCCCCAACATTATCGCTGTTTATTTGATCATATATGAAAAGAACGCATTAATTTATATTAAACAAACAAATATTTACAAATAAAGCATTAAGTAATTAATAATAATTACAATAGAATTTTTTTAAAAAGTATTTTGAGCAATTATAATAATAAAAAGCAATTGAATTGTTTGATAAGATAAAACCGGTTTAATTCAATTCAGTTCATTTCAATTCAGTTCAATCAATTCAATTCACAAATAAGAATCAAAATGTTTGTGAAGAATTCATTTAAAATATCCTTTTCTTTTGAAGAAATGAAAACGAAAGAAAGAAAGTAAAACTTTGCATTTTCAATTTTAGGAAAGAGAGAGAGAGAGAGGAAAAATTGAGCAAAATTTAATCATTTCGGCTGGAAGTTTCTTGCAATCATTGAAACATGCTTTCTAATAGAAAACGAATGTATGAAATTCAATTTCAATCAAATTAAAGCATTCCTATACTAAAAAACACAAAAAGATGGAAAGGGAAATGAAAGAGATTTTAATTTCAAATTTAAGTCGATAGAATATTTAATATGAACATATAAATTATATAATTGTATATATCATAAAATTGTTATTGTATCTATCTTATTACAACTTGATAAAATAATTGAATGATTATTTGTCGTATTAGAACAACATAAACATATGCAACATTTTAATATCATAATAACTGAAATTAACACTAAGATAGGATAAATATAAATTAAATTGGAATTAAATAAATGAATATCAGGTCGATACCAAATAATTATTTCAGTACTTGCTTCACGTCCAATTAAATCGTAATTAATTAATTTGATCAAATATTCGCAATGTGTTCGACCATGTAATTGTATCATTGTAGTTGTTGAACCCTCAAAAAAAAAATTGAATTTGTTAGCTAAAGTATGCTGCAATTGTAATATTAAAGATATTTGTTAGTTAGTGCAAATTTTTACTTACCGTAATTTTTTTGCTCAATTACCGTAATTTCACCTAGTATAATATGCAATAATTCGGGAATAATTACCGTAATTTCAACTAATATAATATGCAATAATTCGGGATTGTAATGCAGAATGTAGTATTTGAATATAGAATGTAATATTTGATCATTTCTACTATCATACATAAATTACTGTAACCTAATTACTGCTTCACAGTATGTCTATTTTTCATGAAAGTTTGATCATAAATCATAAATCTCGTTCAAATTTCAATAAATTATAAACAATGCCGAAGCTAAGGATGCTTTTCTCCTTTTTAAATTTTAAATCGATATTAGCATAAGTTTTGAATTTTCCCTCCTATATTAAATATTTAAATTTTGAGAAGTTCTTTTTGTAATTATTTGTATATGCAAAAATAAACGATCTCATCTAAAAGGCATCAAACAGTCTCGAATAATTTTAGATTATCGATCATACGAACAGAACTAACCGCATTGACATAAATGCTTGAAGGATCTTTATCACAATCATAATGATTTGTTAGCGATTGATAAAGTAATTGATAAACTAAAATAGCATTTGGTTCACTTGATGGAATCCACTGAATTTTTACTGATCCATTAGAATTTACTATTGCTTCCAAATTTTTAACTGGTTCGGGTGCTAAAAAGAAATGAAATAAAATTATAAATAATTGTTTCAGAAAAAAAAGACAATTAATTAGTTGCATGTTGCAATTTGTAACTAATTATTTCACTTACCACATTCGAGACTTCCTGAACCAAATACTTCATTACATGGTGGTGTTAAGAATCTCTGTTGTAAATTGAAGTTTGTGTCACTTGCATGTGACATATTTTTTTGTTGTGACAAAGATGAATCTATCATTTTTGATGAGATCGATCGAACTGCTACAGAATATTCCGTTGAAAATTGCAAATTTGATAGCAAAATACCATTCCCATTATCCTAAAAAAAGCTTTGCAATTGTAGCAAAAATAAATGATACTTAAAATATGCATTTGATTTTTGAATTGAGTGATGAATGAATTTTCAAATTAACCATTTTCATATGATACGAATGATAACTAACAGTAATTGAAAATTGATAAAAATCGATAAAAAAGTAATTGATGAAAATCGCGGAAAAGAACCAAAACTTTCTACGATTGAAATTTACCAGCAATATTTAACAGATTTCAAATTTCCCGGTAATTTTAAATATGCAAAAAATTTTTTTTGAATTACACAAAATTTAGAAATTAAAAAATGCTTTCATTTTAATTCTTAAATTAATAATATTTTAAACCAACCAAAGTAAATAATACAGTTTCTTGTGAAGTTTCATTATATATTGTAATACTGTAGTGACAGTTACCAAACAATGTATGACTATCATTCGATATATCTGTTGATGATTCACGTTGATACGGTGAATGGTACCATTTTACTAATGCGCATAAACCATCCATATTATTGTATTGTGTTGTTATTATCATTGGTCCAACTACAAAAATCAAAAATCTTTTTAAATGAATTTTTATAATTAGTCATTTTAAATTACTAACGATTTTTATTATCATATACGATATACGGCAATGATAAATAAAATTAAATTTATCAATGATCTATCATATGATTTTGTAATTTAATGAGAACACTTTGAAACGAATGCAAAAATAAAAATAAAAATTATAATAAAATAAATGAATGATCATCAAAAATAATTAACTAACATAAATAACTAATAATATAATTAGCACAAATTAACTGTAGGCAAAATATTTGAATGAAAAATTTTGAAAATTTTTTAAAAATTTAAAACTCTTAAAATTTCAAAATAAAATGATAAATACGAATGTAGAAAATAAAATGACAAATGAATATATGCAACGAATCGTTCTTTCTTTTTATTTTATTTTATATTATATTATTTTCTGAAATGATACAAATGATCAATGAGGAAAAAATTGTTACGTAAAAAAGGATACCGATTAATAGGTATTCTTTTCCTGAAGGAATTTCGTTTTTTATTTTTTGATTTCAGGAGAAAAAAATTTACGGATAAAAAGTGAAGTTGGAATTATTTCAGGTGGTAATTTCAAGGTAAACCAGTAATACATTTTTTTTCTCTTTTCATTTTATCTCTTTTTTGCATATTCAAATTTTACCTTGCTTTTTTGTTTCAAATAATTAATTAATTAATAACAATAATAAAAATTTTTCATTTAAATCAAAATTTATATTTCACTTTTTTGCTTTTTCTTTTAAACATTTATTCTTCCTAAATTTTTCATATCCATTTATTACTTTGTAAAAATTGAATGAAATTTTTATTACCAGGTGGTGCATGTAATTTTTCATCAATCGTTAATGATTGTGCCCAATTACTCATTATTGGACCACCTAAACGTCCATCGGGACCAACAGCAGTTACCATAAATCTATATTGCATTATTGGTACCATACCTTCAACTTTAAATATTGGCTCTGATTCAATCTGAAAAATTAAGTTTGTTCGTTTTTCGTTTTCACTAATATTTGAAACTTTAGATTTTCTTTTCAAAAAAAAAGGATAATTTTAGGATGATAATTTATAATTGAAATTATATTGTAATTTATAAAAATTAAATGGGAACAAATTATCATTATTAGCTATTATTACTATTATTATATAATGAAAATAATTATTTGATAAAATGAAATTTAAACAAACCGAAGCAGTAATCCAACCATTTTCTCCGGTCAAACTACCATCGTATGTCCGTTGCTTCCATTGAACAATATATCGAATCGGATATTGTTCCGTTTCGTTAATGCTAACAAAAACTAAACCTTCGATTGTATCTTCGAAATCATTTGGCTCATTCGATGTTACAACATCCATACAACCTAATTGAACACTTTTAATGGGTGAATGCTCAGTTCGACCTGAAATCGACTTGTAAGAATTTTAAGGGTCAATCATTTTCTTTTCAATTATTAAAAGCTTCTCAAATTAAATTAAAAAATTAAAAATTCCTTGATAACATTGGAGATTCTATAAAAGTCATTAGATTTTAGTCTTCTAAAATTTTCAGTTTTACATTGTAAGCCATTTATATGCCCTTTGTTTTTCGATATCAAATTAAATTACTTAATTACCAGTCAGGTAAATCATCTTATATTAGTCATTCAAAAAATAAATTTTTGCAAATAAATTTGGAAATTTCTCACTCAGAAAAAAAATGATATAATAATTTTACTTTTTAAAATTTAAACTTTCGAAATTTTTTACTACGACTTTTCAGAGTTTGAAATTTTTTCAAACACAAATTAATTTCAAATTTTACTTGCATATGCATTTGTATCCATCCAAAATTGCATTCCCATTATTAGCGCATTTGTCGTACCATTTCTTTCACGTTTTGCAGTTATTCGTCGTCGATTACAACCAGCTATACACTGTATTATATCATGATAAAATTTATTTATTTCATATTAAATTTTAACTTTATAATTTATCATTATATAAATGTTTCTATTATCTCTATTGTATCATCAAAAATATTAGCAATTAGAAAATTAGTATTAAAATAATTTAATTAAAATTTTAAATTATAAAAATCATTCGATGATATCATTTTATACTATCTCTATTGAATCATCAAAAATATTAGCAATTAGAAAATTAGTATTGAAATAATTTAATTAAAATTTTAAATTATAAAAATCATTCGATGATATATCATTAACATATAAAAATTTGAAATGATTTATAAACAATGAAAAATTTGAAATTACGTGACATTAAAAAAATAGATCTAAAAAAAGAAAAACAATTAAAAACAATTAATCTTAGAATTTTTTTTCTTTTGAATTAATGACTTTCAATGATACGAAATATTTTCACATCGTAAAAATAGTTGCCAGTATGCTTAAATTTATTTTTTTCCTTCTTGACACATTTGAAAATTCATTTTTCCCACTATTGTTTCTGTTCCAAAGATGGAAAGATAAAGTGCGCAACGTAGTAAATATTTTTCCTTTCAAATATTTCAAATTATATTTTTTAGTGAGTAAATTTTTATTGATTTAAAAATTAATTATTTTAATTGCAAATAATCTTAATTTGAATTTTAAAAAGAATTCAAAAAAAAACGAACAAGTTTATAGTTTTCGCCATCATTTCCATAATACTTAATAAATGTTCCATCATTTAAGCGTCGTTTAATTGATTTCGAATACTGAAAAATTTAAGTATAATTGGAAGAGTTTAAAAAATTTGCTGATTAAATTAAATTACAATAATAAAATTTAATTTAAAAACAAAAAGAATAAAAAAAAATCGAATTAATGATTATAGATTATAAATTAATGATTAGTAAATTATAGGAAATTATTTTAAATTAATTAATAAATTATAGGAAATTATTTAAAATTAATTAATAAATTATAGGAAATTATTTAAAATGAATTAGTTAGGAAAATGTATAAATAATTTCCCCTTATATCTTCTCTCCGATCAAATTGTTGCTTGCAATCGTAATATTAAATTTGCATAAAATTTATTTGCTTTTAGATAAGACGATGAATTTACTTAAGCTTTCATATTGTCATGCATGGAAAAGCAATTAATATTGTTTCAATTATTAATGGCTATGTGGTATGAAACAATTCGATAATTATGAATTTCATTTTATTGATAAGATTAAAATTAATCATTCGAATGAAAATTTTAGCTTCCAAATTTTTGTTATAATTGAAATTATCAAATTATCAAATCTCAGTTAAACATTTTCATTTCTTTCAATTCAAAAGACCTTATCCAATTTGTTAATTTGGAATGATTATTTATTTTCAAGCAAAAACAATAGAAAAAAATTTTTCATTGAATATGAACTGTTAAACAATTATCATTGATGATAAAGTAAGCAATTTTCTTTTTTCATTATCTTTTAAGATAACTATTTTAAATTTTTGATTTTTACAGATTATTCCATGGCAATTAATTTTGCTTCATTATAAACTATTGTTATTCATTATTATCATTTATTATTATTGCTAATTATTATTATTATTACTATTGTCATTATTGTTATGATTATTATTACTATTATCACTATTATTATTGTTATCATTATTTCTATTGCTATTCATACGGGCCATTTACTAACTTAGTTTAAAAGTAATTACCTTTTCAGCACATTTTGCATCACATTGTGCTAATCTAAAATAGTGAACAAAATCAATTTGTACATATGGTAGCACCGTAAATGCTTTTAATGTTGCTGCAATTAGCACTAGCATTGACATCCGTGACCACATCATGGAAATTTCGTATTGCAATTGAAAATTCTGAAATGCAACAAGCAAATTTCATTTCTGATAACTTTTCAATTTCGCTTTTTCTCGGCCATTTAAAATTAATCACTTAGATGAAATTTAAGAAATAAAACAATTAAACATTGTAATGGATTAATTGCATTAATAATTAGCAGTTGAATAAATTCCTTCTTAAAATTTCTCATGCAATACAAAATGTAAATTAATCTATCGTATTATAAAATTAATTTATACAAATTATACAAAAAATTAATTATACTATAAAATGTCTATATGAGTTAAGTAGATTTTTTTGATTGAAAATTTGCATATTTATTTCTTTAAAAAAAGATAAGATTTTTTAAATAAAACTTTCAACAAATATTTTGGCAGAAGAAAAAGAAATTCAATATTTAATCTTCAAGAATGGATGGCAATGATGCAAATTCAATAATTTAAATTTATAGAATTTAATTTCATTTTTTTTAAAAACAAAAGGAAAGAAATGCACAGGTGAAAGATATTTAACTCATTACAAACATATTATTCATTAGTTATTATAATTTTAAAAATTAAATTTTAAAGTTGCAAAATTCGACTACACTTATTCATTTGCCTCTTTAAAAGTGATGTATCGTTTGAAGGAAGAAGTGTTGAAATTCAATTGAAACATGAATTATAAAATATCTATATGAATTTCAATTCTATGAAAATTATACATTCATACATTTTAAGAAATTGAAATGAAAAATGAAACATAAAATATTTATATATGAAATTGAATAACTGCACATTTTAATTATATTTATATTCAATTTCATATAATCATTTCATGTTTCGTATTTCATTCCAAATTTCGCTTAGTTAATCCGGAAAAAAAGAAATGACATATTTATATGAAATTGAATAATTGTACAAATTTTCTATTTTCAGGAATTTACTGGCAGTAATGATTGATAGAGAAGAATTTAGGGAATTAAATTCGGAATGAATGAAGTTGGGACAAAAACGAATCACCACAAAAGATTCCTCCCAATTACCAACAAAAAATCATATCCCTCTATCTATGCAGTAGTATCATATACGCGATACACACATGAATGACCTTCAACCTAACATAGATATTTAACCAAATTTTTTTATGATGGAAAAGAAGGGAAAAAAGAGAAAAAAATTTTGTATGATTTGGAAAAATGACCTTTTTTGGTTAAAATTTGGACAAATGACCTTTTATTGGTTAAATTTCAATAATTTGTAATTGTCGTATAAAATAATTTATTTTAACAACAATCTATAAAATTTAAATGTTTTAAAATTTCAACTGTTTTTTTTAAAAAGTAATTAATTTTACAAATTTCGTTATCAAATAATTGTGATATCCAATCTGTACAATAATATGGGATGAAAATGTGATCTTAGTTTAAAATAATTTGTTTAAATTAAAAAAAAATTCGACCGAACTGTAGAAGCAGATATAAGATATGCTAATTTTTATCATTTCGTCTGATATTCTAAAATTAAATTTTAAAACAAGGTTATCAATAATATCTTTTTAATTGACCAATTTAACACTATCCTGAATTTTAGTAAATTTTTGATCAAAAAATTCACTAAAATTTAAACAATCCATAAAATAAATCATCTCTTAAATATTTTAAAATTTCAATTATTTAAATTTTACGAATTTAATTTCCTGAATTCTTCTGGTTTTGTCAAAAATGATGCTACTTCCTTAAGTTCGTAGGTCATGGAATTAATTTTTAAAAAGAATGAAATTGTCATAATGATCGAATAATAATAATAAATGCTTATAAAGGAAGTTGGAAGGGAACATGAAATTAATGAAATGAAATGAAGTTTTATGGATAGTCGTAAAAAAATATGATGAGATCGTAATTTATGCACTTATTCTTAGGAAGCTATTTAACTACCACTTCCCATTATAATTGCATTTGTCCATTTGACCTTTGACCCACTCAGAACTAAAGAGAACAAAGATGAACGCTAAAAGTTGAAGATAAAAATGATTAAATCATTCAAGCAGAAGTTTTCAAATCTTGTAAACTTTTATTTTGAAAAAAATCAAAAATTTAAATTTTTATCTTTTAAATGAGAGTTTAAAAAATTAGGTGAAAAAATGAAATTATCACAGCTTATATTTATTTAATGATTTAGCTATTAATTGATTGATTGTAAAATACCTTTCGAGAAAAGTTAGAATTTAATGTTTATTGATCGATTATAAAACACTTTTCGAGAAAAGTAAAATTTAAAAATTTTAACTTTTCTAAAAATTTTTAAATTTTACTTTTCTCTTCTTATTTTATTTTTAAATTTCAAAATTAAGAAAGATTTAAGTTATTTAAATGTTTGTAAGCAAAAATATTAAAATGAAAAATTCCATTCTGAAATTTCAGTTAGAAATTCAAATTTCTACACATATTTTCTCATTTATTAAAATTTTTAATTAGCATTAAAAATTTTACTTTTTCTTTTGTCATTATTTTGTTTTTATTTTTGATGGAAATTATTTGATAAAATGAAAAATTAAATTCCTTTCATTAATTAATTTAAAAAAAAGTTCGAAATTTTAATTAGAAAAGATTAATTATTATCCAAAATTTATTTTTAAATGTACATTAAGCTTATTGTTTATTTAAACATATAATAAGCATATGCAAATTCATCTCCTACAATAAGCCCTCATATAATTAGGATAAATTTTTTTCTCATTTAAGGTTTTGTAAGTATAAAATAATATAAAATTGAAATTTTAATTAGAAAAGATTAATTAGTATTCAAATTTATTTTTTGAATATACTTTAAGTTTATTGTTTATTTAAACAAATAATAAACATTAAATGATATGTAAATTTATCTCCGAAAATAAGCTCTCATATAATTGGGATAAATTTTTTTCCCATATAAAGTTTTGTAAGTATAAAATGATGTAAACAATTGGTAATTTGTTTTATACAAGCGGGAATGTAATGTTTCGAATAGAATTGTAAGATAATTATAAAGCGATATAATGATTGGGTATTGTGTCCTATTTAACATCTGACACTGTAATTAGTGAAAACATATGGACTAAAGGTAGAAGTGGGATGGAATGATGAGCGGGGGGTTATTATTGGTGAATTGGGAGAAGGGAAGAGAGAAAAGAGCGGTCTACAGATTTGAAAATAACGGGAAAATGATAAGTTGAAAAAAGATAAGAAGATATGATATTTTGATTATTATAGAACAAATTAATTAATTATTACAATTAACAAATAAACAATATTTAAATGAACAAACAAAATTTTAGAAACATTTAATTTTATAAGTAAATAAATAATTGCCACCTGACTAATTTCATTCATAATTAAACTTCACTTTTTATATATGTATATTTATTTATTTAAATGGTTTTTCATACAAGTGATAGCAAAAGCTTAATTTTAATTGGAATAAACAGGTGGATAAGCAATTATCAAAGATAATATACTAAAATTTAAATGAAATTTTATTACAGTAGTAATTAATTATAATACTATTACACTGTGATACGGTAATTGTTTAAAGAATAAATTTTTATTTGTTGAGAAATTATTTTATTTGTTATTTTAAATTTGAAGTGATAAATTATACTGTATAATGAAGAGAAATAAAGTATTAGTAATCCTACTTCATTAAAATTTTAAATTAAAAGTTTCGTGTTTTGAAAAGAGAACGAAAGAAAAAGTGAAAAGAGAAATAGTATAGAAATGAAATCATTCTTTATTACAGACAGGAAAAATAAAAAGGGTTGCAAAATTATATAAAATTGAAATTAAAATAAATTTAGAAAAATTAACACAGAATCATTAATTAACTCTAAATTAATAGCCTTTCATTTATAAAACATAACTAGCATATGCTAAGATTATAATTGAGAATATATCAAACTTCTCAATTTAATAATATTCCTTACCTGATTTTAAATTTTGAAATTTCAATCAGGCAATTAATTAATTAATCATTTCTGTCATTTTATTTCCACTTGATTAAATTTTCATCTGCTTGAAATGAAAGACTGGATCTTGCTTATTAATTAAATATTACTGAATCGGTATCCTTTAATCCTAATCAACTCAGCATTTTCATCTAATGATAGGTGCTATCACATGAAATGACCCACAATGCAGTAATTTTGATTTACTTCCATTTTTTGTTTTAAATTTGATGAAAATTTAATTATTATTTTATGATTAATTCCTAAATTTAATAAGGAAAATATTTTAAAGTTTAGTGAGCTTTTTTTGCAAAATATATTTTATCTATTTCAAATGGAAAAATTAAAAAAGGAAAGTTTTAATTAGAAAATAATTAATTAAAATAAATATAGAAAAATTATGTTTGTTTTACTATCTAATAAAAATGAAAAAAGTATTTCATTTGCTCAAATATATTTAAAGCTTGGTGGTACCATCAATAATTAGTTGTTTCTAATAATTAATTGCTAATTTACACTAACTATCATAATTTATTCAGTTTTTCTTTTAATTTTACTTCGAAATTCTTCTAATGCCAATATGGATTCTCCAAAAAATTCTTGCCACTTGGAACAATATAGGTTATTTATTAATTCTGCGTTAATTGTTTAATTTGAATCTGTCTGTTATCATCACTAACGATATTTTCTTAATCAGCCGGTAAATAAGGAATATAGCCAAATCCATACTTTTAAATTGTGTTGTAATATTGATATTGAATTTTTAACTGAATAAAAATTGTTCCACTTTAATATGAATGGAATTAATCATCATTGAAATTTAATAGATCAATTTTAAAGAAATAAATGACGAATGATTAGAAGAAGAAAGAGATATGATGAAGAATTATATGAATGAAATATCGGTAAAGATATTATAGTTGACAGATTTATGATTAACCGACAATTGATGGTTATTAAGTGATAACTTCGAAATGGTCCAGAAACAAGTTTATTGGATTTTAATTAATAAGAAAGAAATTAATAG